GAAGAAAACCGCCAGAAAACGCCCCCCACCACCCCCAAACCCCCCTCACAAAATCCCCTCCTTTCCTGAATTGGGGGTGAGAGACTTGCAGTCTTGGTGGAAGGAGGGAAGGACTTTGGCCTGAGGGCTTCAGAGGGAAATCCTGGAGGATGAAGACAAACAACTGAGAGAAAACAACGGGCACCCCCCACGGAGCTTCCCTGTAGCCGCTCCTCACCTTGGAAGGGGTCGAGGGGCCTGCCGGGGCTGGCACGGAAATGCCTCCGGGGCTCCCTCGGCGGTGCCGAGAGCCGTAGCGGCGTCCGCGGGGCCGCCGCCGCCACGGAATACAAGCCCCGGCAGCGGATCATGCCGCCGCCGCTCTTGCCGCCCTTCAAGTGAATGGGAACCTCAACGCGCAAGCGCAAACCACACGACGAGTGCGCCTTGCTGTCTCCTCCCCACGCGGCCCTTCCGACACGCCTAGCGCACCGCCCAATCGGCGGAGAGGATCCGCCCGCGCTCCTTCATTGGCTGGTGCCTCAGCACAGCCACCGAGGTGGTGTCCCCGCCCTCTTCTTGATAGCCAGCCACTCCGCGCGGCCTTTAGCTCTGACGTGGCCGCAGCCGGGTAGGCCCCTCCTACAGGAAAGGCCTTGTTTTTGCCCATCGGGAGGGAGACCGGCCAATGGGATTCGCCGTTTCTCTCCGCGGGGGGAGGCCGACGTTTGAAGAGGATGTCCCGCGGGCGGGATCTCTTTCTTTTCCCTCCCTTCCTCCCTTTGAGTTGGCCAATCACCGTCTCCCTTCTATGGTTGGAACGCTCACATCCCTCCCCCTTAAATCGTATATCATTCGGTGAGGAAAGCTCGCTTCTCTGGGTGGCCATGGTCCTCCGAAAAGCCCGCCTCTTCCGGAACCAAGGTCCAATCACATTCTTCTCTCCCTTCCTAGCCCCGCCTCACTTCCGGACGCCCGTTTCCGGCGGAAGTGAGCCGACCAGTTCGAGATTAATCTGACGTGGGAAAGGAAGTCGGGCTGGTTTCCCGGCACTTCGGACCCCTTTTCCTCCCCAGTTTCCCCCCTTCACCCCCGGGCCCCGGCCCGGCGCCTGCCGTTCCCACCATGCTGGACTTCTTCACCATCTTCAGCAAGGGAGGCCTCGTGCTGTGGTGTTTCCAAGGCGTGCGGGGCCCCGCGGCGGCCTGCACCGCCCCGGTGAACGCGCTCATCCGTTCGGTGCTGCTCCAGGTGAGGGAATTCTTTCCGTCCGTCCCCCTTTTTCCCTCAGGCTTTCCTCTCTTCCTTTAAATAGCCGTCAATCTTCGTGGGAGCCAAGATTTCCCTTTGATCCAGGAAGAAACTCCTCTAAAGTTTTCTAAAATCCCACAGTCCTGTTTTTCTTTATGTAATTTTTGGGCCATTTCATGTAATTTTTGGACAGAGTGGATGATGTGACGTTCCAGATGTTGCTCGGTTTCAGATGAGATTCTTGTTCTTCCTCACCAACAAACCCGGTGGTGGGAGTTTTAGTCAAAGAATATGCAGAAAGCCACCTATTTCCTTCTGCTTTAGATTAGAAGAATGTCACTTATCTTTTCCTTAGAAGAATATTTGTTTGTTTGTTTGTTTGTTTGATTTATATCCTGCTCATCTGGTCAGATCGACCACTTAGGCTGATCCTGCGTGGCACTGGAGTGCAGTGAAGACTTCAAAGCAAAAAAAGCAAAGGCTGCTGCTTATATGCCACGCCATCGTGCTTAAAGCTCTCCCTGGGTGGTTCACAGCTTAATTATGCAGGCTACACATTGCCGCCCCTCCCCCAGCTACCTGGGTACTCAATTTACATACCTTTACATACATGCGGTCAGTCTCAAGCCAGCTACCTGAGCCCAGGATCAGGAAGAATGGTATATCCAGTCAGTCTCAAGCCAGCTATCTGAGCCCAGGATCAGACTCAGGTTGTGAGCAGAGTCTTTACTGTAATAATGCAGTTTACCCACTATGCTGCTTTAGCTGGCTAAATCCAATCTTTACTGTAATAATGCAGTTTAACCACTATGCTGCTTTAGCTGGCTAAATCCAGTTGTCACTCCAGCCAGACTACGACCCACCAAAACGAAGCCACAAGTTGTCTGTCCTAGTTTTAAATTAGGAATAACAGAAACCGATATGATTTCCCAGTAAATGACCCAATTCTTTGTAGGTTTTGTGGAGGTACAGTATAATATTGGTGGTAATGTTGCAGACACCTTAGATGGTGCTGTGGATTTGTGCTTTGAACTCCGGGAAATACTGCTTAAATGTTAACAGTGTTATATAGCATTACCAAGCTCATGCTTCAAGTATAGGACTTGTTTGGGAATTAAGTCCTCCACAATATCTTGTGGTAGAGGAGCCAGCCTGTGTAGTCATGGGCAAACTGCACAGACTCAGGATGGCCCAGAAGAAGGGAATAGTAGATCACTTCTGAGTATTCTTTGCCTGGAAAACAGGGTCACGTGATTATTATTGTAATTCAAACGTGTAATGCTGCAGAAGAATCATTGGGGATGTTAAAGTCTACTGAATTTATTAAGGCCACCCCAACGTGACCTCTGGGAATTAAAAACACTTAGAGAAAGGATTTTTTCTTTGTGTTCTTAGCCTCTAATTCCCATCAACTTCAGCCAGCCTGACCAAGGGTGAGGTGTGATGGGGAGGTTGTAGCTCTGCAACATGTGTTACTCTGCCATATGTTCTGAGCCTTCCCTCAGTAACTAGCTACCTGTTTATTTCTAAATGGATTGTTATGCATTACTGCTTTGACTAGGTTTTTAGTATTATTTGTGTTTTCCATTTCTCAGAATGTCATTTGTTTTTTTCCTTTTTAATAGTTGCATACTTATTGTCCTTAGCTTTAATTATTATCTTTTAATTATGTAAATCACCATTGTATAATCATTGTTTTTCAGCTTTGAATATCATTCTTCAGTGTTGTTGGGTTCTTTTCAATATTGTTTTTCAGCTTTGAATACCATTCTTCAGTGTTGTTGGGTTCTTTTCAAGGAGAAAGGCAGGATAAAAATATTTTCAGTAAATAAGTTGCCCAACCTTGTTGGAATCTCTTCAGATACTAAAACTGGATCTTTCAAAAGCTGATAATCTCCATCAGATTTCATGTGTTATGATAAATGTTTTTAGCAGGCAGGGTGAGCTTATAATACACTTAGTGTTGGCAGCATCATGTAACTGGAACCTTTTGATGCTTTGCCACGATTCAAAGTATGTGCCTTAAGATCCCACAAAATCTTGGTTATTTAGGGAAGATGTAAAAGCTCAGTGGTTTGTTCTGATACTGTGTCAGTACTGACTGAATGCTGCAAAAGGAAGGAGAGGGAAAGAGCTCAAATATGGTTCTCGTTCCTCCCCCAATCCTTCCCTTAAAGCAGTTTGTTTTTATAATGCATTTTTTAACTTTTATAAGGCACTTAATAACCAATTGTGGTTAGCCACAATTGGTCTAGCTTTTAAACATCTATTATGGTAATGATCATTCTGAGCCTTGTTGTCAGTGTATTTCAGAGAGTTAATGTGTAATTATACATGTATTAAAAATACTGTGTAGTTATCTGCATTCTCTAGATGTTGAACACCTTCTAAATTGTGTTTTTCATATGATTTTCATTTTACTCTTAAAGTGCAGTGTTTTGCAGTCAGTGTAGTGCTATTTTATATAAGAAAAGGATTTGAGACCGAGAAGTAATTGCATGGTGAACTTCCACCCATGTGATTTAGCCAGATACATGCATTTAAAATACTGTGTAGTTATCTGCATTCTCTAGATGTTGAACACCTTCTAAATTGTGTTTTTCATATGATTTTCATTTTACTCTTAAAGTGCAGTGTTTTGCAGTCAGTGTAGTGCTATTTTATATAAGAAAAGGATTTGAGACCGAGAAGTAATTGCATGGTGAACTTCCACCCATGTGATTTAGCCAGATGACATTGGAACCTATTCTTCTAAATTCAAAAACCACCACTTTGCTTCGGACTAGTATAAGTGCCCTTTATACTGCTCTTTTTAGAAGATTTTCCCCTTGTCTTTGCCTGCCTATGATTCTGTGTTGTCACAGCTTCATCATTTCAAACCATCTCTTTATGGTTTATATAGGAGTGTGTACTTTCTGTATTTGAAAGCTTCCATTGATATCGTTGTGTCTGTTGTTGTGCTGTTAGATTCCCTATCTGTGATGACAAATCACTTATCAAAATTGCTTTTTTGTGTGTCATGTGGATGTGGTCATTTTGTGCCAGAAAATTTGCTGCTAAGTGCAGGACCTAGGAGTTACTTTGCTACTTCCAGATTGCCTCCTTTTGCTGTTCCTGCTTGCTTTGGCTCTTTCCTTCTACAGTACTTGTTCTTGAAAGCACATCATTGGTGCTGGCTAACTAGCTGAAAATGTAATTTGCTCTCTATCAAGATAGATCTGGCAGTCAAGTAACTGATCTCTCGACTGCCTTCCTGGGAGCCAGGTGGAGCCTTTTCTCATATTTAACATCATTGACCATTTAACTAGAAATGACTGAGATAAAATATTCCATCACTTGAGATTCTAGTCCTGTTTCTATTGAGCCTAGTTTCCTGTCAGTTGTAAAAACAAAAACAATGGTGGTCACAGATGTATTGAGCTTTCACTATTTTGACAGAGCTAGGGATACATGATCTGAATGCAGACCATCATAGACAACATACAGTATGAATCTTTGCACATCTGTTTAGCAAGAAGTCTGAAATCTTATTGTGGTAATAGCCAATGTTGGCTGAATATCAGTATGTCTGCTAACTGTGATCTGAATTATGTGTCTTGAAAAAAATAGATGTGTCTGAACAGAACTGGAAAATATCTAATATTGGGAATTGCTGAGGCACTTTAATATTGACATTGTTTCCTAAAACCTGAAACATCTTTTCCCATTTTGTCTTACGTAGCAGCAGCAGCTTAAGAGTATTCCTGCATATTTGGTAGAAATGTAATCTCTATTAAGAATATGCCTGCATATTTGGTAGAAATGTAATCTCTACAGCTTCTAGATTTCAGGATTTGACTCCCACAATGTGTCCAGCTAATGTGTTGTTTTTTCCTTTTCCGCAGGAGCGAGGTGGCAGTAACTCCTTTACCCATGAGGCCCTTACACTAAAGTACAAGCTGGACAATCAGTTTGAGCTTGTCTTTGTGGTAAGCAAGCTGTTCTGTATGAGACTAGCACTAAAAGGCAAAAGTGATTTGTATTCTGAAGTCGGGGACTTTGCTGTCATCAGTGATGCATTGTGACTGAGATTTAGAATTCCTTTGATTCGGAATGCTATTAACAACTGAACCTGCTCCCAAAAAACATCAAAAAATACTCCTTTATAGTTGGAACACTCCCTGGAAAAGACACTGATGTTAGAAAAGTGTGAAGGCAAGAAGAGAAGGGGACGACAGAGGATGAGGTGGTTGGACAGTGTCATCGAAGCTACCAATGTAAATTTGTCCCAACTCTGGGAGGCAGTGGAAGACAGGAGGGCCTGCCGTGCTCTGGTCCATGGGGTCACGAAGAGTCGGACATGACTAAAGAACAACAACAACATAGTTGGAATATAGGCCTATTTAGAAAGAACAACTGGAGTTCTAGGGAAAGAGCTTCTTTTTAACTAATTGATGGCTGCCTTTGCAAGTAACAATAGGGCTCAGACTCTGACGTTGATAAGCCATTGTATGATGTGTACAGTCTGTTTATTCACACAAGCAGGTAAACAGAACAGAACTGCTGCATATGATATCTGCAGCTTGAATTATGGCAACCCGCAGTCTGGTTATTCACACAAGCAGGTAAACAAACCAGAACAGAACTGCTGCATGTGATATCTGCAGCTTGAATTATGGCAACCCAAGATTACAAACCCTGTTTTAACCATGATTTGATGTTGTTTGCAAATACTGCTTTGTTTAGTGCATCTAACAATAACTCTGGGTCTGAACGTCACTTGAAGTTATCCCTTCTTGGTTTATTTTTTCTACTTGTGCAATGCTGTAAGCTGCCCAGAGACCTTTGGGTAGTGTGGGAGTTTATTTTTTCTACTTGAGCAAGTGAAACAGTTTACTGCTGGCTAGCAGCTTATTCACAAAGACTGCTGGATTCCTCAGTCTTTTAGGTATCTGTCTGTGGAGCCAGAGATTAAGAGTTCAATTTCCCACTGTGCCTCCTTTACAGGCTGGGCTGGATCTAAAGGGTCCCTTCCACCTCTGCAGTTCTATAATGGTGATAATGTGGCTTATGAGGCTATGTATGATTGTGTATTATTTGTGGACCTTAATGTGTTGTTGTTTTTGTTTTGTTTCTTACACACCTCCTTTCAGGTTGGATTTCAGAAAATTCTGACTTTAACCTATGTGGATAAGTTGATAGATGATGTCCATAAGGAGTTCCGAGATAAATATCGAAATGAATTCCAGCAGAAGGGAACTCTAGGCATTCTGAATGGCACCTTTGATTTTAAAGATGATTTTTTGCGTCTCCTACGGTAATAGGAAAATGCCTTTAAATTCCTTTCTGTGATCATGTCTCCATGTATATTCCTTATTGGCTTGAAGAAAACCATTGAAACTAAGTGGAGGCAAATCCACTGTTCCCAGCTGTAGCCCAGCAAAGTTTACTGAATCCTGTAACATTAAGCAGATGACCTCTAGTGGCAGTGTGTGCACACCATTCTGCTGGCTTTTCGGAATGGTGCTGCAATCTAAACATACCAGGCTGACTCGTCAGGTGCTCACCTTGGCAACATCTTTGTAAGTCTACCTCCCAAGTGGAAAGGAAAAAGGATAGCACCAAGGAGAAATCAGAAGTCTTGCTATGAAACAGACTATTGAAATGTATGTCTTTGGGAAAATGAAATAAATGAAATCAACCCCACTGTTTTTCAAGAAAACAATTTCACTGGGAGTTAGTTCCATAAAGCTAACTTATTGAAACAGCCACCTTGTTCAGTTTGGCCAGATTCAAACTTAACAAACAATAGTTTGTGGTGCTAGTTTTGCCATGACAGTCCTTAGTTTTCAGACAGGTTCAGGTGGAAAAAGAGGAAATGTAAAAGTTTAAAAAGATAGTTCTTTGGGCTTCATTTAACTATGGCCCTAAAGAGAACAGTTTTATGGTGAAATTTCAGCAAGAGTAGCATTCTGGGATTAGTCCCTGTTCCATTTTGAAAAAAGGGAAAATAATGGGTGTAGATAATGTCTTAACGTAAATTATACCGTAGATGAGAGCTAAAGAAGCAGGCTATGCTGAAATACTGTATTTTTCTGTATATAAGACTATACTTTTGTCTAAACTCTTTAGAATAAAAATTGAGGGTTGTCTTATACACAGAAGTAAGCTGAGGAGGGAACAAGAATAACTGGAGGGGAATGCAGGGATCAAAGTGATCCTGCAGGGCTTTGATCCCTGCTTTCCCCTACACTTGCTAAGCCCCACTTAGATTTCTCAATTTTGGGTTAGAAAAGGGGGGGCATCTTATACATGGAAAATGCGGTATGTATCACCGTATATGATGATCAACGTGCACAGTAGCATAACCTGTTTCTCTTTCAAACCAGGGATGCAGAGGAGAGCAGTAAAGTCCGAGCTCCCGCTGCCATGAAGACATTTGAACAGTCAGCAAAGTCCCAAAAAACTGTAAAGTCTATGATAGAAACTCGAGGAGAGAAACCAAAAGAGAAAACTAAGAACAAGAAGAACAAAGGTTCCAAGAAAGAGGGTGAGTAACTCTTACCAGATGGCATTTTATGGTGATTTGTAAGCCCTGCATGCCGAATAACTGTCGGATTTCGTATTATCCTGAGTGATTTGTTCTGAAGAGCTTACTTGGTTACAGGATCAGCTTATGCTATGCTTAGTTAAAAACAAGTGATTTTCAGGAATGACTGTGTTTGCTTTCTTCAGTACAGTGGTGCCCCGCTAGACGATGGCCTCGCAAAACAACGAATCTGCATGACAATGAGGTTTTGCGGTCGCTATAGCGCTTCACAAAACAGTGTTTCGTGTTTCCAATGGGCAGTTTTCGCTGGATGATGTTTGGCTTCATGCTTTGCAGACCGTTTTTCGTAAGATGATGATTTTGACACTGATCGGCGCTAATTTTTGCTGGACGATGTTTGACTTCGTGCTTCGCAGACCGTTTTTCGTAAGATGACGGTTTTGACACTGATCGGCGCTTCACAAAACGGGTGCTTTCGGGACCAATGCTTCACAAGACAGCCATTTTAACAGCTGTTCGGTGCCTTGCAAAGTGGCTTCCCTATGGGCGATCTTCGCAAAACGACAATGATTTTTCCCCATTGGAACGCATTAAATGAATTTCAATGCATTCCAGTGGGAAAATGGTTTTCGCAAGACAATGTTTTCACAAGACAGTGATTTCAATGGAACAGATTAACATCATCTTGCGGGGCACCACTGTATACATTTGGAAGATGAGAATTGTTCTGTGCATCCCCCCCACCACCACAGGCATTGCACAAGTATGCCGTGTAATGTACCTCCAGCATAAAGCATGGATTTCAGCAGCTGGAAGGCCCATATGGTTTTCGCAAGACAATGCTTTCACAAGACAGTGATTTCAATGGAACAGATTAACATCATCTTGCGGGGCACCACTGTATACATTTGGAAGATGAGAATTGTTCTGTGCATCCCCCCCACCACCACAGGCATTGCACAAGTATGCCGTGTAATGTACCTCCAGCATAAAGCATGGATTTCAGCAGCTGGAAGGCCCATGCAAGAATGGCCATATGCTCATAAGCTTCCCTCTACAGATATACAGACGTGAAGGAACTGAAGTTTTCCTAATACATTCCCTATTCTCTATTCATTCATTGAAGCAAATCATTGGCAAATCCTATACTGATATGCCTGACGGAGCTGTGCTTCAGTGAGGTGAGGGATGTTATGTGTTGCAGTTGCTTCTCTTGAGAGAACTGATGATATAATATTACCCGAAGAACAAAAATATTTGCCATTGTGGATGTTGTTCCCCCCTCAACCTCGGTTTTGATTCAGAAGTTTCCTTTTGTCACAGATTTTCCCGTGACTTAACATGGAAGTGACCTGAACCAGCAAGAGCGATTCTAAAAGATGAGCCGTTGTTGTAAATTTCTTAACAGCAGTGTTTGCTCTTTCTGAACTTACAACCAGGGATGGGGAGCACTTTTTGAAGTCGACGTAGACACCGGCATTTGTCTGTGCAGACGATACCAGCGTGGCTTTGGGCTACTTCCCTCTATTTTTGATCGTCCCTATTGTTAGCCATTTCAGCTGCTGACTTGCAGATGCCTTTGGCTCTTGACTGGGGATCGTAAGGGGACACAGTGTTGCTTGTCTCACTTTATAATACAAGTTCTAAGTATATGTGCTGTTTCACTTGCTCCAGGAAGTGAAGCTGCTGCCGTCCCCATGGCAGCCCCCACTGTAAAACAGGACCCTCCCACTGCTGCTGGGGACAAGGAGGAACTGACCAAGGATGAGATTCTACAGAAAAACCGGGAGGAGTTCTTCAGGAAACGTATGAAGGGGAGTGAGAAAGCCACGTAAGTGGAGCCAGTGACTGTCCGCGTTCTCTCTTCTTTGCCTCTCGGTCCACAAAGACTCATTCAGCGGCTCTATCTTTGCAGGCATGTCAGTCAGTAGAGGCTGTGCTGCCTGGGAAATTCTGGGGATTCCAGTCCAAAAAGCCACACATGTATGTCTCTTTCAGGACTAAGTAATTTAAGTACAGAAGCCCATATACTGTTAGGGAATCTCGGAGTGTAATGGCTCATGGGTGTAGCACTCTGTGCAACCTCCGACTTGCAGATACGTGACCCCAGAGATCGCCCCACTGAAAGCAGCCACAGGGCTTTGCTGGGCCCATGGAAGCAGGGAATGCTTTATTCCTTAGAAGCCCGGAAAAAAACAACTACACACACTGAATTCTTGTGCACATGGTAAAAACAATGGGGATTTTGGCCACTGGTCTCGGTGATATAGTTTTCAGACAGGGCTCAGAAACGTGTTGCTCATGGGCTGTATGTCACCTTCCCCAAGTTTATTTGTGGTCTTCTTTTGGACCTTTCAGCGTTCCGTAGCTGAAAAACATGCTGGAGGAGGATTTCATTTTCCCCTCCTAGAAGCCTTCCAAGAGCGACAGTTTTGCTCTCCCCCTCCCCCCAAATTAACCCAAGATAAAATTGAAAGGGAATATCACCTTTTGTTCTGGTGTTTTCCGAATCTGGGGCATTTTGTGGGTGGCGGGGTGGTTTCTGGATGTAAAAAGTTGTCCACCACTGGCTTAAAGATATAGCATCTTCTTACGATAATGACAGCTGCTTCGTAAAATTCCCCAGACTTCTTTCTGTGATTTGTTTGGTGTGCATATGTGCTTATGCTTTGCGATTGCAAATATATATTATTCTTTCAGGGTGAAATTTCATGCCAGAAATTAGTTGGGACACTGCTGGCTTATGTAAGCAAATAGATACGTACTTATTATAAAAACACACCTGCATGTCACATGCAATGTATATGTGAGGAACCTAGGCTTTTAATTGACTGTTGCTTTTCTACAGAAGGGATGTATCATTGGCCGGTGTATTGCTTTAGGAAAGAAATATGGAGTGACAGCTAATTTCTACATTTAAAAATAGCCATTATTCATTAATGTGTATCAGTGGTCTGTGTGCCTTCAAACAAACACGCTTTGGCTTAATTCTCACTTAAATGGTAAAAATGTGTCTAGGCTGCCTCATTGCAAGTAAACAATAAATCTGATATTTGGAAATGAAAAGCTAAGTGAGCATGCCAAATAAGAATAATTTTCGCGAAGGCTTTCACGGCCGGGATCTAATGGTTGTTGTGGGTTTTTCGGGCTCTTTGGCTGTGTTCTGAACATAGTTCTTCCTAACGTTTTGCCAGTCTCTGTGGCCGGCATCTTCAGAGGACAGCACTCTGTGCTCTGGTGTAGTTGGCTTGGGAGTGGGCAACTACACCAGAGCACAACTACACCAGAGCACAGAGTGCTGTCCTCTGAAGATGCCGGCCACAGAGACTGGTGAAACATTGGGAAGAACAACCTTCAGAACATGGCCAAAGAGCCCAAAAAACCCACAACAACCACAATAATAATTTTATTTATTGCTCTGATGTGCTAATTTTCTTTATCCGGGAATGTTTGTTTCATTTTGCTGATAGACGTTCTTCTTCCTGCAGTAAGGAGCAATATCACTGTGTTACTTATTACTATTTAAGTGAGAAACTGGGTCACAGGCAGACCACTTGAGCTCCTTCACATTTTGTTAAACGATTACTCATAAAATTCCTCGCCTTTTGGCTGGCTTAGACATTTGCAGTCTCTAGCTCCGATTTATGCCTTTACTCCTTCTAAGGTGGTTTGATTAAAGAAATAGACATTCGTAAGGTAATTGTGGAAGGAAACGATGGCCCCGAATTTAATCTAAGCCATGGTTTTGGGGTTTCATGTAGAGGCAGGCTGTCTGTTTGGCAAACTAGGGAAGAACCTTTGAGTGCCAGGATGCTCAGTAGTCTTAAGACAGAGTTTCATTTGTCATTCTGGAGAACTGTGCTTCTTTGAGCTGATGGGAAGGTGAAAGTTAAATGTAAAACACAGACTCTGATTGTTTGGCCAGACCGACGGGGTTCACAACCTTAGGTGATACAGAGCCCTCTAGGAGCCCTGCTGTTTCCTGTGATCACTGAGATGTAATGGAATATTTTCTGCATTCCTCAGCAAGTCCCCAAAACCAGATGCTCAGAAGGACAAGGGGAAGAAGCCCAGAGTGTGGGATCTGGGGAACTCTAATGCCAAAGTACTTGATTATAGTAACTCCACTACCAATGGAAATGGAGACACCTGTCCCATGGAGGATTATGATGCAGAAATGGTAAGATCTTCAAACTCTAGGGGGAGCTCAGGGACCTGTGTAATATGTTTGAACTTTCTAGCTGGTTTATTAGTAGCTGATTAATTCTTCTTGATAAACTGTGAAGCCAGACGTTGCGGGTTCAATTCCTCACTTTGACAGGGGCTGGACTCAGTGATCCATAGGGTCCCTTCCAGCCCTGCAGTTCTAAAATTATTACTATTTTGCTTATTCTGAGTTGTATGTTGATACACAGGTGTACACACACGCAAAAGCGATCACAAAACAATGTTTCCTATGGGGGAATTTCGCTTTGCGATGATCGGTTCCCTGCTTCGGGAACCAATTCTCGCGAAACGATGATTTTCGGCCAGCTGATTTCAAAATGGCCGCTAGGTTAAAAAAAATGGCTCCCCGCTCTTTTCTGAGACGGATTCCTTGCTGCACGGGCAGCGAAAATGGCTGCGCTATGGAGGATCTTCGCTGGAAGGTGAGTTTCAAGCCCATAGGAACACATTAATCGGGTTTTAATGCATTTCTATGGGCTTTTAAATTTTGCTTTGCGATGTTTTCGTTCTACAGCGATTTCACTGGAACAAATTAACATCGCAATGCGAGGCACCACTGTATCAGGAACATCTGCAAGAGAAAACTAGCTGTAGATTCTTATCTTCTTAGCATATGTGTCAGGAGTGCAGATGACTCTTCCCTAGAGAAAACGCTGCTGCTGCTGTTACTTTGTTGTATTTGAAATCAGGCCAAGCACTTTGCAGTGTTCCTCGTCACAACTAGGTGTGTGTACTTGTAGCTCAGGATCATGCTTCCAGAACTGGATGGAATAGGCGAGAATCCACAGAAGCTTATATGGTTATAACTGTATTAGTCATTGGGTGCCATAAGGCTCCTTTTTGTTTTTTGCAATAAATTGGGTGCCATAAGACTCCTTTTTGCTTTGACTCCTGTTCTCGTTTTGCAATTCAGGTCATTGGGGATCGTGACCGTGAGCCTGGCCTCCTCCGTGATCTTGAATACGAGAGTGAAGAGGAAACTGAAGAAGAGGAGAAGGTTATTCAGAATTCCTCAACCACAAGGTAAAGCCTTGGGGGCTCCAGAAATTAACTGATTTCCAAAGTTGTAAAATCACTTACTGTTACAGAATATCCTCTCGATGCCTCCGAAAAAGCAGCTGTTTTCTTTGGGAAACCCAAACTTTGCGATCAGATCACATGAAAGGTGATGCAGGAGGTCCTTGTTTGGAGCTTGCTCTACTTGAAGTCATGTACTTAAGTGTCAAGAAAAGCAGGCTAGAAATGAAACAATTGGTTATGCTGGATAATCCTTCCTTGATCCTATCCACTTTCTTGTCTTCACACATGAAAGGTGATGCAGGAGATCCTTGTTTGGAGCTTGCTCTACTTGAATTCATGTACAGTGGTGCCTCGCTTAGCGAGCGCACCGTACAACGACAAAACAATTGGTTATGCTGGATAATCCTTCCTTGATCCTATCCACTTTCTTGTCTTCACATACTCCTATATCCAGATCATTTCCTGTAATTGTAAAACCAAACTTGAGACACTTCAGGATATATATTGTGCACCTTTATCTATCCATTTGAAACAAATATGTGGTATGCAAACAGCTCAGTTTGGATGCATCCTGTATGTATTCGGAAACCTGGATTACACTGTCCTTGTGCAATGACATGGGTCTGCTTTACAAGTCACTGTAGACCAGCCTTTCCTACCTTGGTGCCCGCCAGATGTTTTGGACTACAACTCCCATCAGCCCTAGCCAATATGGTTGTTGCTAGCAGACATCATCTACATTTTGAATGTGAGCTTCTAGAGTAGTGCTTCCCAACATTGAGTAATGCAGGTGTTTTTAGACTTCAGTTTCCAGCAGCTTTCACCACTGGCTTGGGTTTCTGAGAGCTGCAGTCCAAGAATGCCAGGGTTATCCATGGCTAGGAAACACTGCTTGAGAGTTGTTCTTTACCAGGACTCTCGTGAGATGTTCATTTATAGGTTGAATGTATTTTGCATTCTGTGGACCCATACGTTCCAAATTTTTGCTTATCCCCTACTTATTTGATGGATAGTGACCTATTCATTGTGAAAGAGTGCTGTGAAACACCCATCTCACTTCTTGCTGCCGATGGCTTTGTTTGGATATGAATAAAATCTCTAATTGCCAGTAGGGGTAATGCAGGTGTTTTTAGACTGCAGTTTCCAGAAGCTTTCACCACTGGCTCAGGTTTCTGAGAGCTGCAGTCCAAGAATACCAGGGTTATCCATGGCTAGGAAACACTGCTTGAGAATTGTTCTTTACCAGGACTCTTGTGAGATGTTCATTTATAGGTTGAATGTATTTTGCATTCTGTGGACCCATACGTTCCAAATTTTTGCTTATCCCCTACTTATTTGATGGATAGTGACCTATTCATTGTGAAAGAGTGCTGTGAAACACCCATCTCACTTCTTGCTGCCGATGGCTTTGTTTGGATATGAATAAAATCTCTAATTGCCAGTAGGTCTTCCTTCCTCTTGGTGTTGCAATAGTGCTTTCTTCTTCCCAGTGCCAAGAAAGGAGGTCTTGGAGGCATGTTTGGGATGCTGAAAGGCCTTGTGGGCTCAAAAAGCTTGACCAGAGAGGACATGGACCCTGTGCTGGAGAAGATGAAGGATCACTTGATTGGTGAGTTTCAGCTCCTTAAAACTAGGCAGATTCTTACACTTTGTACTTCAGCGGTGGGTCAGATTTTGCTCTTTTCTCCCACAGTTCCTGCAGGCTTGTGCATAGAATAGGGTTGAGTCAACCATGTAGTTCATTGGTGAGGTGGGCAAAATACGGTCAATGGCCCACTTACAGCTTTCCAAAGCTACCTTTAGCTTGCTCCCCTTTTGCATGCATAATGGCCAGTTGGATAGATATTTATTTACTATGAGCCACTTCTACTTTGTTTAATAATAGGTGGGATATAGAACTGAATAAATACAGCCACCTGTTGTTTTTCCTTTTCTCTTACTGTATTCTTTATTTTACCACCCAGTTCTTCCTTCCTTAAAGGTTCATCCTTCCTAATGTTTCAAACAACCTATTTATGGATGATTCCATAAATCGCTGGGCATCTTCAAAAGCCAATTAAAAACCTGGCTGTTTAAGCAGGCCTTCCCTTCAGTTATTATTCAACTACCTTCTTTTCCCCTCTTTCCATCTTGAATAATCTGATCACTAATAATGTTATGTTTTTAAATTGTTTGTTATATATGTTGGAAGCCGCCCAGAGTAGACTATTGACTGGATGGGCGGGGTACAAATACAGTAAATAAATAAATAAATTCCTGTATTTACTGCCTGGATGTCATCATTCTGTGATAACTAGCTCACTCATTATAACAGCTAACATGAGAGGTGCAGAGGATTGGTTTGGATGTCATCATGCCACATTCAAATCCTTTTTTAATGATTTGAGCCTTGATCGCTGACCCTGAGCAACCTACCATGAGCCTTGGCCAATCCGTAGTCTTACTATGCGTTTGTCATGTCCTGCCTGCTCCTTGAAGAAAGTGAAAGCTCTGGTGCTTAATAAGGAAATAATTTTGGAACCCATGAACAAATAACTCCACCTTTTCTGGTGAAAGGGTGTGAATTAGCAGCACTACAGTCTTAACTGGATCTTTTGGTTTGATCTGTTTTTTTCTCTTCCCAAAGCGAAGAATGTTGCTGCTGACATTGCTGTCCAGCTGTGTGAATCTGTTGCAAAGAAGTTGGAAGGCAAAGTTATGGGCACCTTTACAAGTAGGTATCCCTTATTTTGAATGTGTGCCCCATGCTAATCTGCAACGTGTTGGCTATAGAGCCCTCCATATACCCCACAACCGTTTGATACTAGTTTACAAAGTGCATCTTTTAAGTTTGTGGTGTGCCCTTTTCTCAGAGTTGTTCTAGCTCCTAGTGCTATTTTAGAAATCGGATGGTTTATCAGGGAGAGAGGAAGGTGACTGAAAGTCTAAATAGACTCTGAGTCCTGGGTTGTCCTGCCAGTTCTACAGGAGAAGCATCAGATTCCCAACCTCCAGGTGCTTATGGGGATAAAGTGGTCATTCTTATAGTAATTCTCATGAAGACATGGGTAGAACCAAAGACCACCGGTGAATAGCAGGAAGATGGAAATGGAAATCCCGTGTTCATAAAATAGAAAGTACCTTTTTATACTATAAGTCTCAGAATTTTCCAGCTGCCATGGCAGATGATGTGCTGTAGCCCTGTAAAAGTAGATTTATTCCTGGTCCAAGTATTTCAGTCTTCTGTTTAGACTGATGCAGCCTCTTCATGAAAATTGAGTAGGTCCCTATAAGTAGAACTTAACATTTGTTTCTAATTTCTCAGCGGTGACCTCGACGGTGAAGCAGGCCCTTCAAGAGTCTCTGGTACAGATTTTGCAGCCTCAGCGCCGTGTGGATGTCTTGCGCGATGTGATGGATGCCCAGCGTCACCGCCGACCCTACGTCATCACCTTTTGTGGTGTCAATGGAGTTGGGAAGTCAACAAACTTGGCCAAGGTATGAGGGTCTGCCTCTGTCTGATTGGAAGAACAGCTTACATCTATTTGAGGCCTGGGTCATCTTAAGATGCCAGAGGGCAGCCTGCCATGGAAGGCAAGGGAAGGACCAGTAGGTCATGCCGCGAACATATCACTTGTTCAGACATCACTCGACAGACAGGGCTATTAAAAGTTGAGTGGTTTCCCCTTTTGGCATTAAAGCTTTCTTCTATTTAATGAGGGTAGAACAAGAGGATGTTTGAATTTTCACATTTCTGAAGTGTAATATTAGCACATTTAAAAAAACTATGTTATTACTGTTTCCCCCGTAAATAAGACAGGGTCTTATATTATTTTTTGCTCCAAAAACACATTAGGGCTTATTTTCAGGGAATGTTTTATTTTTTTCATGTACAACAATCTACATTTATTCAAATACAGTCACGGCATCATCTTCTGGTTGCTGCACATGGGTGGAGGGCGGGATTTCACTTAATTGGGGCTTATTTTTGGGGTAGGGCTTACATCACAAGTATCCTGAAAAACCATACTAGGGTTTATTTTCAGGTTAGGTCTTATTTCAGGGAAACGGAGCAAAATAATACAACATAAAATTACACCTGATCCACAAAAATTACATACAAAAAATAATAACACTAAAACTTAATAACACAAAATCTTCAACCTGGGGACCATTACATCTTACTTTTTCCCCCCTTTATATATAACTTTCAGTCCAACTCTTAACTATCTCCATATCCTCTCCAAAATACATATATTTTGGTCTGGCTTTTCCCCTTTCCGTTTACACAGTATAGCGTTTATAAAGCAGCTTTTTTCTTTTGTTATGAAATCTGTTTCTCTCTCCTTGTTTAATCATTATCACATTTTTATGGATGAGCAGCTAGTGGCCCACATTCACCTTATGAAACACCAGTCAGATGTTTGACCACCAGGTACTCTATATAGGATCATCACTGTCTCATTGCTTAAAACTCTTCCAGCTTTTGCCACATTGTAGCTGCCAGTACACCTATAAAATCTGTAGTCCTATCAATTTTTATGGATGAGCAGCTATGAAACACCAGTCAGATGTTTGACCATCAGGTACTCTATAACTCCTCCAGCTTTTGCCACGTTGTAGCTGTCAGTACACCTATAAAATCTGTAGTCCTATCTCAGCACCATAGGTTTTCACTTTTTGAGGGTTTCTTCATGATTACTCTCAACTGTAGCAAGAAGCTATAATTTACATGCATGAATGAACTGCCACAGATAGTACTTTACTCTTGCTGATGTCACCTCACGGGATACTTTTCAATGCAACCATTAAATCTTCACCTGTCATCTAGTGCTGTATTGATTGAGTGACATGCATCTTAGCCATTAACCAAAACTTGCCTCTGTATATGCACACATGTACATTTTGATTTCTCAGGTTCTGTAGTTCACATCCAGACTTCAAATGCCAAATTTCTAGCAATTAAAAGGAAAGGAAAGAAATAGCTTCCATTTGTTACATAACGAAGCTAAGGTTTTCAGGATGGTGGCAAAGCTGTGGATAAGTGAAAGTGCTAAGGAAGTACAGTCCCTGTGCATGGTAAAAACTCTGCAAGTGATACAGTGGGACCTCGACTTACGAATGTCCATATCTACGAACATTTCAACTTACGAATGGCTCCGTTCACAAAAATTGCCATTGACTTGCGAACGGAGCCTTGACCTACGAACAAAAAAAAGGGAGGGGAAAAGGGTGGGAAATTGAAAACCAGCCCTTTCCCACTGCCTTTTTGCCTTTTTTCTTCCCTCAGAACCCATTGATCGGTTTTCAGTGCATTCCTATGGGGAATGGTGCTTCGACTTAAGAACATTTCTACTTAGGAATGCAGTCCCAATACCGATTAAGTTCTTAAGTCGAGGTACCACTGTACTGCAGTATGTTTTTTTTAATCCTGTTTACAACATCAGCGGGGAAATGTGGCCCTCCAGATGTTGGTGAACATCCCTTACCATTGGCCATGCTAGCAGCAAGATCTTACAGAAACAGGAACCCAACACATGGAAGGGTCACAGGTTCCCCAGATGTGGTTTGCATAGTGGACAGTGTGTTCTGGAGAAGTAAAGCTTTGCCCGTCTTTCAGATTTCTTTCTGGCTGATTGAGAATGGGTTCAGTGTCCTCATTGCGGCATGTGATACCTTCCGTGCTGGAGCCGTGGAGCAGTTGCGCACGCACACTCGCCGCCTGAATGCTCTGCATCCTCCCGAGAATCACCACGGCCGCACCATGGTGCAGCTGTACGAGAAGGGGTATGGGAAGGACGCAGCCGGCATTGCCATGGAAGCCATTATGTATGGTAAAGATACCTCCCACCTTCTGATCCTTTTAGCCATCTCAGATCCACTCACTTAGGCCATCTGCCTGTAGTTCAGAGTTGTTCAGTCGTTTTCAACTACAACGTTTAAATTGCTTGTTGTTAGCCATGTTGGTTGGGGCCGAGGGGTCTTATAGACCAAACATTACCCATATCTACTATTGCTCAAGCATCTCCACATCTCCTCTTACTTTGCCTCTTCCCAAACTAGGGATGGGAGAGATGCTCCTTTTCCAAACAGGAAGCAGATTATGAAGAAATACCCTGTTTGAACGAAAACATTGGTGGGGAACCAGCTTCAGAGAAAACCCTTTCCCTTTTCCAACCTTCTTATCATTCTCTTTATTTCTTCCAGAGGCAGGATCTGTAACTAACTTATCACTTTAAAAGGGAACAGATCAGAACTTTCAAGAGCAGCTTTTAACTGTTCTGCATACTCTGTGACTTGCAGAAATGTAACAAATTACACAGCCCTGATTCATTTGCAGAATTCTGCTTTTCCCAGCATAAGACTGGGAGAAAGGAGCTACTGTTTCCTTATTTTCCTTATAGTAGAAAGAGGTCTAAGTGCTCCTCTCATTAGTTCAGTGCTACAGAAAGTCTGAAACAGGAAGAGGGGGGTCTGTTATATTGAGACATAAGCAGAGAAAAACACATAGACTATGCATTCCATTTTCCACTGGAAAATTCTGGTGGCAGTTATATGTTTCAGTGGAACCACTTGGGGATATTTGTTGTCAGCGTTCTTAAACTTATTTCAAAAGGGGAAATGGCTATAAATCCCCAAAACCTCCCACAGGAAAGTTTGATTGCACTTACCTGTTATTTGCTACATGTGTTCTAACAAGTACAATCTCCGCCACCCACCTCCACCCCTTTTTCTCTTGCCAGCCCGGAATCAAGGGTTTGACGTAGTCTTGGTGGATACAGCTGGCCGGATGCAGGACAACGCTCCCTTGATGACAGCTCTGGCTAAACTCATTGCGGTCAACACCCCAGACCTTGTCCTGTTCGTGGGAGAGGCGCTGGTGGGGAACGAGGCTGTCGATCAGCTGGTTAGTTCCTAGTTTAAGATGCAAACTCAAGAGGTGCCAGACTGGTCCCTTCCCAAGGGTTGTTTCACACAGCATGCATAAATGTAGCAACTGTGTTTACATAAGAGTAAACGTACAAACTATGTCCACATTCAGTGGCACGTAAATGTGTGCAGCAGTTCTTGGATCAGGATTGGTTAAGGATGGGGAGTTTATGTTGGGAGGAATAGTTTATCATTGAGTACTTTGTGAAAACTCTGCTGATTTTGTTGTTGTTACCTTTTGCCTTCACCAGGTCAAATTTAACAAGGCTCTTGCTGATCATTCAATGTCTCAGACCCCACGCCTCATTGATGGAATAGTGCTCACCAAATTTGATACCATAGATGACAAGGTAAGCAGAGCCAGCAGATGGTATGAACTACTAGGCGGCAGGAGGGCTACTTCTTTGGATCTTACTTTATAAGTAGGCAAGAACTGTTTGTATCTGGAAGTTCTGAGATCAGCACATGCTGCCTGGATAGCTTAGTGAGATGGGTTCGTGGCTACAGAGCCAGAAGTTGGGAATTCAGTTCTCCACTGTGCCTCCTAGAAGAGTCAGCCTGTGTAGCCTTAGGCAAGCTGAAGGGTTCCAAAGCGTCCCAAGAAGACGGGAAGAGATAAAGCACTTCTAAGTGCTCTGTAGCGAGGGCCATTATTAGTTGGAATCGACTTGGTGGCATATTATTATAGATTGTTAATGAAGCTCAACAGGGATCTGCCTAGACAACATTTGGTGATGATCCAGAGGTGGTTTGAAAGACTTCCCGCAGAGTCACAAATGGGATTTCTTACTGTGAAGGTGGGGGAAATAAGCCTCAGAGATCCCTGGCCCTAAGCCACATGATTGCTTATTACTGGTTGTCCTAGCCTAGGGTTGATGAGGGTTGTAGTCCAACAACATTTAGAGGTCTGCACTTTCTCCGTCCTGTTTGTTTCACTTCCTATGTAAGGGAACCATACTATCAGCTGCAGAAAATCAAACTGTCCAGGCTTCTGTAAAGCAATTTTGAAAGCAGCATAGAAATGAAGAAGAAATGTGTGATTTAAGTACCTTTGAGAATCCTGCACAGTTCACCAGTGTGTTTCAGTGCCACAGATACCTAAAGGACAAATAACTGCTTAGCGCTATTTCACTTAAGAAATGATCTTCTAAACTGAACCTGATGTTGCTAGTCTACCGAAGCCAAGTAACAGGTATTCCTTTTTCAATCTAGGTTGGTGCTGCAATCTCCATGACATACATCACTAGCAAACCAATAGTGTTTGTGGGTACTGGACAAACCTACTGTGATCTGCGTAGCCTTAATGCCAAGGCTGTGGTTGCTGCTCTCATGAAGGCCTAAGCACCCGTCATTGCACCAAATTCCTGTCTGCAGATTATCTTGGAATGTGCTTTCCAGCAATGTGGCTGTCTTAGTCCTTCTTTCATTCTCTCCCCCACCCCTACCCCATTTAGCATAGCACAACACAGAATGGGAGGGATGCTGGAAGAAGGGGCTATTTATTTGCTGCCTTTTAAATCCTCCTCTCGGTTTCATTCACACACACCCCTTCCCGCTGTGGCAGCATGAGACTTTAGCCTATCTTCAGTTCTATTCCACATCTTTGAAACTGACTGTACTTGTCCGTTGGTTCCAGTGTCTTCTGGGCAAAGGAGGAGTTTTCCTCTAGCTAGAGACCGCTGCTTTGGAGCAGTTCCTGGATTACCTGCATTTGACTCGGGGACCCCTCTTTCCCGTCTCCCTTCATTCTGTCTATTTGGGACAGTAGCCAAAGCCAGAGCTTTGTATTGTTCATCCCAAGTCAGTGGGTCTCATAAGGAATTAGGAAGGGAGGCTGCTTTGCCAATTACTAACCACCTATGACTTCTGCTTTACTTTAAAAAAAAATGTCCTGTGAACCTGAATCTGCAGCTGCTCCAGATGATAGATCCGTAATCCAGAAAAGCATGGGGGTGTTGAATGAGCTGCTTCCTGATAGTGATGTGGACATTCTGTAGAACGGAGATCAGTGCTGCCTTGTGGGATAGTTCTCGTGGATCAGGCTTCAGCCTGGCAGCTTGCTTTGACCACAACAACACACCAAAGCTTTCAGACCCCTCCTCCTCAGGTTACTCCTGCTGCTTCCAGTGGGGAAGAGGAGAGGGAGGCTGCTGATGCCTTAAAAAGGTCCTGCTTGCTTCCGTCAGTGGGACTCTTCACAGCAGGACCATCCAGAAACTGCCCCCAGACTGTATCGTTTGCAAAAGCACAGGGGCCTCTGCAGGGCCACCTCTAACCCATGCAGTCCAGCGCATCCATCTGTTCTCATAAGAACATGGGCCAGAACTGATCAGAGAGCAGCATCTGTTGCCTTTCTTACTGGAACACAGCTCTGGGTACAAAATAGCTGCCATTGCTGCTGCATGGATAGAGGGCCCTCCTTGCATTGAACTTGTCAAGAGTCACAGCCGGTGAGCACACACTGATTTTGCACACTGCACTCAAGCTGCATAGGTTACCAAGAAAGCTTGAGCTCACAATAAATGCTGCAGACAATCCCTTTTCTCCCTGACCCCTCCCTGCAAGCCAGGGGCTGAAACCATCCACCCAAGAAGAGCTGGTTCTGTGGATTCGTTTTTAAGGCTGATCAGTGAATTTTAATTAGACCAGGAACAAATGTCTTCTAATACGGAAAAACTGTTTTAAAAACACAGAATCTTGATTATGATCCTGCCTCGCAGCTCTTTTCCTTTTCCAGTCTAATCATAGGTTAGAATAAGCCTGATCCACACGAGCCTCTGCATGCTTTCCTACCTGCATTGATTTCTGCTTTTCCAAACCAGTCTGTGAAAAGGAAATTGCTGGTGGGGATCATGCTGGTGGCTGCTTTTTGCTGCTTGCCCCCCCTGCTCCCCCCTCCCTTCAGAGTGCCTCTTGATCCCGGTATTAAGTGCTATGTTGAATAATACAAAACTCTCTATGAAGACGTCTTGTAGCTCGGTATTGCAGATGTGCTCTAGTGCAATAAGTTGAATGCTGTCTGCTAAAAAGTAATTTATATAATAAAAAGTCATTTAAAAAAAACAGCAGCTTTTTCTTTCAAAAACCATCAGAAACCTTCAGTTATTCCGGCTGTGTGCCCTCCGATAAGAACACCAGAAACTTTCTGCTAGCATCCAATAATATTTGCCTGTAATGCTCTGCTGGGGTTCTCCCCTTCTTTCACTCTTTCTGCCCAGATCATGAGATTTGGAAAGCTCATTGTAGTGCAAGGGACATTACCACAACCACCAAACCATGGCAAACGCCTCTGATTTATTCCAGGCAAACTGTGATGGCTTGTTCAAGCTAACAACCATTAAGATTAATCTACAGTTCCAGAGCAGAACAAGGCAAGCTGCATTTAGAAGCAGAAACTATTGATTCCTGACCTTAGGAAGGGAAGATATGAAAAACAGATGCTTGTTTCTCTTGTTTTGCTGATTCATGTCATGCACTGGACTAGTTTTAAGCTCCTGTGTGAAGGCAGGCTTTGACGGTCTTGTATCGAACTACAGTATTTTTCCATGTATAAGACTATACTTTTGTCTAAAATCTTTAGACTAAAAATTGAGGTCGTCTGATACACGGAAGTAAGCTGAGGAGAGAAAAAAGTGGAGGGGGAAGCAGGGATTAAAGTGATCCTGCAGGGCTTTGATTCCTTTCCCCTACACTTGCTAAGCCCCACTTAGATTTCTTAATTTTGGGTTAGAAAAATGGCAGCGTCTTATACACGGAAAAATACGGGTAATTTAAAAGTGAGCTGCAACACCTTCCTCTTTAGACCTCAGGAAGTCCATCACAGGAGCACCTAAGAACCTTAGGGGATTAGACCCAAATCTCACCATCTTGTTTCCCCTTAAATAGAACATGAAACCCATTGCCATTTTTTTCTTTTGCTTTAGGACACTAACTCAGAGATTTCAGGATTTGTAGACCAGCACAGTAACTTCTAAATGCTGTCCTGCTTGTAAATTCATGCAGTGACCAACCATGAACTCGTCACTCAAAGCAAGACGTGTGAACAACCATTTATTACAGTTTCAGACATACAAAACACTGTGTATAAAGAAAAAGGCCGTAGAAAACTAGAGCTTCAAGTAATTAAAAAATGCTCATGGTTCAGTCAAAACTCGTAAGAGAATATAAAAAGCACTAATAGCGAACTCTTGCTCCATGGGAGAGCATGGGATCTCCCTGCAGAAACAGCCTTAAATAGGAAAAAAAAATCACATTGCTTGACAAATCTTCATGCCCAAGAGCAGAAAAGTCCCAAGAAGTGCTTGTATCAAGTTTTTAACATTTTTTAAGTTTCACATAGCAGGGCAAAACAAAACGACGATAGCACTTGCGCGGAGGCGTAATAATACTTAATTTTCCTTCCTCCAAATGACTTCGAGAGAATCACATGTGTCGCTCAGGGCTGCCAACATCTTTGCCTGAAATCTCTAGCAGAGGGATGAACTCTGCGTCAGGATAACAGTTAACGGAGTGCATTGTGCTCCCGTCTGCCTACTAGGGGAGGGTCTATTATCTTTAAACTTCATCTGGGAAGATACTATGGACACTGGCCTTAAACGCGAAGGCAACAGGAGGCTTTGCAACAAAAACTGAATCACTTAGCAGGGGTTGGTTAAAAAAAAATCTAGCAGATTAAAAGGCAGGAGGCCAACAATCCCGGTCTTAGAGAAAGGACATCTGCAAAGGCACATGGACACCTTCACCATTAGGTGAGCTGCTCTTCATATTATTAATTTTTGAACCCCCGTTTTTTTAAAAAATGTTTCTAAGCCTTTCAAGACATAATGACACGGGTTCCGTCTTCATGGTATGTGGAAATATGTTCTGAGATTGCTTTGGGTCGTGCAAGGACATGATGGGCAGGAGGCAAGGGGCAATAAAAAAACCCCAAGGGATACATGAATAGTTTTGCAGGTTTGGGTGTTAAGTTCCTTGGAACAACAGCATTCCTTGCTACAAAGAAAACTTAAGGACTCTTCCGCCCAAGGAGCAGGATGTTTCGGCAGCCACAGGACAAGGAAGTACAGCCAGTCAGTTTTGCTTCCTGTACCAAAGCCCGTTGAGTTTGTTAAGCAGGCAGGAAAGGTGGGCAGGCGGGCTGCTTTTAAGCAGCTGGATAGATCTGTGGCCCAGAAACACAACATTAGTTGCAATCCCCTTTACACAAGGCTTTGTTTTGTTCCTTTACAGTTCTGCCAAAATCTGTTGAGCTGAGCTGCCAGGGCTATCATCCTCCATGTGTTACAGAGTTCTTGCTGCTCAGCTGAATCGCAACACGGACATTCCCTTTAAAACAAAAAGGCTTCGACCTTCAGAAGCAAGACCTCAAAATCAGACACGATCATTTCCAGAATGAATAGGTTATTAGAACTACTACTTAACTCTTCTGTTCGATGCCTTTGTCAAGACTGACTGAGCAACAACTGCCTTTAATGTCACACGGTGCCATTTTGAAGGAGAAAAGGGTCCACAGCTTACTAAGGAGTCTTCCGGGTTCTGCGAGACAGATCCTGCCGTATTTAGTCTTGAACCTCTGTCACACAAAGGGGTGGGGGGCACAACTGCATGGTCACTGGCAGCCAACAAGTTTGGCAAGACTTCCTTTCCAAAGAGGGCCTTTCGGAGTTTGTAAGTATTAAGTCAGCGCCATACCTTTGATTTCGGTGTGTGCCGTAGCTGTGCCATTTAGCTGCCCATCCTGAGGTGGACCTGCTTGGGGAGAGAAAAAAAGATCCAGTGCTTTGGGGGGATGACAAAGAAACACAGAGGGTAGAAAACATATATGAACCTCTTGTGCCTATACAGAACTGTCTTCCTTACAACAAAGCCCACTGGAAGAGTCAGGGGGGGCAGCCCGTTGTTTGCCTCAAGGCAGCGATGGGGTCTTGCAAGTCCCAACTCTGTCAAGTCCGACTCAGGTTGCCCTGGTGCCTGGACACGGATTTGACCTGGGGGTTTGTTGGAAGACTCTAGATTCGATTTGTGAATCAGATCCACTTGTCTGAGTCCCGTTGTCGAGTCCCTACGGTCCTTTCTGCTTGTTGCTGCCAAACCCAGAGGCAGCGAGCCAACTTCCCTTTTCGGAGGTGGCCACTGCACATGCGCTGCTCTATCAGCTGGGGAGGGCGCATGTGTGGGTGGAGGCTATTAGAGGGGACGCTGGACCTGCTGCCTCTGAGGCAATGGGGGCAGGTAGGGTGGACAGAGTGCCTGAAGAACTATGGATGGAGGCTCGTAACATTGTACAGGAGGCAGCAGCAAAAACCATCCTAAAGAAAAGGAAATGAAAGAAAGCAAAGTGGTTGTCCAATGAGGCCTTACAAATAGCAGAGAAGAGAAGGGAAGCCAAATGCAAGGGAGATAGGGAAAGTTACAGAAAACTGAATGCAGACTTCCAAAGAATAGCAAGGAGAGACAAGAGCGCCTTCTTAAATGAACAATGCAAAGAAATAGAGGAAAATAATCGAAAAGGAAAAACCAGAGATCTGTTCAGAAAAACGGGAGATATTAAAGGAACATTTTGTGCAAAGATGGACATGATAAAGGACTAAAATGGGAGGGACCTCGCAGAAGAAGAAAACATCAAGAAGAGATGGCGAGAATACACAGAGGAATTATACCAGAAAAATCTGGATTTACCAGACAAGCCAGATAGTGTGGTTGCTGACCTTAAGTCAGACATCCTGGAGAATGAAGTCAAGTGGGCCTTAGAAAGCATGGCTAACTATAAGGCCAGTGGAGGTGATGGCATTCCAGCTGAACTATTTAAAATCTTAAAAGATGACACCGTTAAGGTGCTACACTCAATATGCCAGAAAGTTTGGAAAACTCAGCAGTGGTCAGAGGATTGGAAAAGATCAGTCTACATCCCAATCCCCAAGAAGGGCAGTGCCAAAGAATGCTCCAACTACCATACAATTGCACTCATTTCACACGCTAGCAAGGTTATGTGTGGGACAGGAAGCGACAGTTAGAACTGGATATGGAACAACTGATTGGTTCAAAATTGGGAAAGGAATACAACAAGGCTGTATATTGTCCCCCTGCTTATTTAATTTATATGCAGAATACATCATTCGATAGACAGGACTGGATGAATCCCAAACCGGAATTAAGATTGCCGAAAGAAATATCAACAACCTCAGATATGCAGATGATAACGCTCTGGTGACAGAAAGTGAGGAGGAATTAAAGAACCTCATAATGAGTGTGAAAGAGGAGAGCACAAAAATGGTCTGAAGCTCAACATAAAAAAAAAACTAAGATCATAGCCACTGGTCCCATCACCTCCTGGCAAATAGAAGGGGAAGATATGGAGGCAGTGACAGATTTTACTTTCTTGGGCTCCATGATCCCAGCAGATGGTGACAGCAGCCACGAAATTAAAATCCCTGCTTCTTGGGAGGAAAGCGATGACAAACCTTGACAGCATCTTAAAAAGCAGAGTTATCACCTTGCCGACAAAGGTCCAGATAGTCAAAGCTATGGTTTTTCCAGCAGTGATGTATGGAAGTGAGAGCTGGACCATAAAGAAGGCTGATGCTTTTGAATCGTGCTGGAAGAGACTCTTGAGAGTCCCCTGGATTGCAAAGAGAACAAACCTATCCATTCTAAAGGAAATCAACCCTGAAGCTGAGGTTCCAATACTTTGGCCATCTCATGAGAAGACTCCCTGGAAGAGACAGTGATGTTGGGAAAGTGTGAGGGCAAGAGAAGGGGACGACAGAGGATGAGATGGTTGGACAGTGTCATCGAAGCAACCAATATGAATTTGACACAACTCCGGGAGGCAGTGGAAGACAGGAGGGCCTGGCGTGCTCTGGTCCATGCGGTCACATAAAGTCGGACACAACTTAACGACTAAACAGCAACAAACCTCTGGACAATCATCCTTTGGTCACCTTGGCCTTAAAGCAACCTCCCCCATTCTGAAACTGTACTGATATTTTTGGACTACATTTCCGATCACCATTGGCCGTGTTGGAAAGGGCTAGTGAGAAATGTAGCTTAAAATTTTAGAGACACATCCTTAGGGAAACCTTGCCTGTGGTTCTGTCCCTCTTGTGAAAGCTGAACTTACTTTCTTCTGTTTAAATTTATACTATTGCCTATTAATTTGTTCTGGACTTTCGTTATTGGGCAGAAAAGCAAAGAACATAAGCAACCTACAGAAACTCTCCTCTTCTCAGCCCATAAAAGCTTACTGTGCCACCACTACAGCTCCTGGGTACAAAACCCAGGCCACACTTTCCTGAAGTGCACAAGGACCACAAACTTGGGTTTCTGGTTTGGAGGAAAAAAGGAAATCTTTGGGAAGCTTAATTATAGGTCCATGGCACATTTTTTCATTCATATGCACACTCAGTATGAGCATAACGTTCAAGGTTTTGAAAGCATATGTAACAGTCATTTTGCTGAAGCTACAAGATGTGAACCTTAGTATTTGGATGCAAGACTAACCTTGAGATCCGTAAAAGAAAGATGTGATATTAGCGCTACACGCAAGCTTCGCCCAGCACCCAAAGAAAAAGTGTAGCAAATCCTTTCAAGTTGAGAATACAGGTTTCTCCTGTTACACTTCTACAACACCTTCTACAACACCTTAACATTCTTCTACAACACCTTAACATTTTCCGACTACCAAGATCAGAAGGCATACTGGTTAGTGCTGGATAGAGGAATTCCATGTTTGAATTTGGGACTGAGCTTTTAAACTCGCAGGGTGAGTTTACGCCTATGACTCTCAAACAGATCTACCTTACTAGGGAGTTCTGAGCATAAAGCAGAGAGATGGAGAGCCATGGAGGAAAAGCAGGAAATACAGTGGTGCCTCGCATAGCAACGATAATCGGTGCAGCAAAAATCGTGTCGCTATGTGATTTTAAAAAGCCCATAGGGATGCACTGAAACCCCTTCACTGTGTTCCTATGGACGTAAAACTCAACTTAAAGCGAAAATCCTCCATACGGCAGCCATTTTCACTGCCCCGTAAGCAAGGAATCCGCACGAAACCACAGCGGGCGGCCATTTTTTTTACCCAGCGGCAATTTTGGAACCGCCGATCAGCTGTTAAAAAAGCGAAACAGGGTACCGATCATCGCAAAGCGATTTTTCCCCATTTAAAACATCGCAATGCGATTGCAAAAAAAAATCGTCGGTATGCGATTTCGTCGTTAAACGGGGCGCCCGTTAAGCGAGGCACCACTGTATACCAATTAAATGACTGGCATATGTAAAGGTTACCATTTCTCTTACCTGCTCGACCCCGGCTGCAGATCTCATTTGCCAGCCTCTCAAAGTACTCAGGCAAGTCTGCATATTCGTTCCCGTAAGATATCACTTTAATCCCTTTGTCCAGCATGTTTTCCCGCAGCTTCTTAAATTCGTCCACATCCCCTCGGCGCACGAGCATAAAATGTTCAAGGTCAGATTTGTGCTTCACAGCTTCTAAGAAAAGGGCCTGGAAAGTGGTGTCGTCCACAGTCCAACCACAGCCCAGGAACAGGAACGACTTGGCTTCGTACAACTTCTGGATCTCGCGCTTTTGAGCGGGGAGGAAGGAAGAAGAGAAAGGGTCCAGAATTTCAGCTTTCAGAAGAACAGCAGAGGCCTTCTGGACGGGGAAAGGAAAGAGGGGTGCCAGCTGCTTGGTGCAAAAGGGGGGGACCCTCTACTTGTACTGCACCGTGGCTCAAGCAATCGCCGGAAGGCACGTTCCAGGAATGATCCAAGAGCCACCGCAGCCCAGAACGATTGGATCGTCACACAAATGCCTGTGGGGGAAAATCTATGGCCAAATCCTTCTCTGCCCAAATCCCTCTCGGAATCTTACAGGAGGCACCATTCTTAATTTCCATGCCAGGGCTGTGGACAACTTGGGTAGGCTTGGGGCCCCATATTTATCCCCAGGGCTTGTGAAATGAAACACCAATCCCGGAAAAGACAAAAGAAGGAGGGATTAAAAGTCAAACTTAAACAAAAAAATGGAACCTGTTGTATGGCCTTCCTTGACCCAGAACTCCCTTGGTGTGTTGAACTACAACTCCCATTATCCATAATCCGACTGCCCGTGGTGGTAAGGGATGACGGCTGCTCTAGAGCACAGGTTCCAACCTGGAAGTCATGACCCCCAAGGTCACAAAATATTTTCTAGGGGAGTCACCAGTTTTAAAACAATCCAGGGGTTTCCATCTGTATGCCTACGATGCAGCCAACGGGTTACTATTTCCTTCGCTTTCACAGCAAGTGGTGAAGGCACTGGTTTGGTTCCTAGAGAGAAGGGAGTTGGGTAGGGGGGGCAGAATGAGATGTGCTGGAGACCAACAACATCTGGAGGACCATGAGTACCACACCCCTAGTAACATCTGCCCTTCAGCCAAAGATGATGGGCTCAAGAGAGCTGGGAGTCTCACCATAACTTCTGTGTTGCGCAGCACATTCTGGTAGCCGGCCGGATGCAACACGATTCCACTGGGATTTGTGTACACGCCATGAATATGTAGGACACTAAGCTTCCTTTTCTCTTGGGCCCACTCCAGCACCTGTTCGGGATTTCAAAACAAGCTTTCAGCGTTTCTCTCCAAACCACCAACTCCCCTTGGTTTCCATGATATATTATTGACTTTGGCCAAGCAGCAAAGGCTCGGGTTGAGATAGTAACGCAAATGTCTGCGTTCCCCCGCTCTCCCACATTCCAAAAACGGAGGGCTATGTGGCTATGTTTATGGTTCGTGCCTCTGGGGAAGCTCACAGCATCTGCAACTAAAACAAACCCAACCCATCTGGCAAACTGTCTAAGCATTTGGAGATATTTATCTGAAACTCCCGGGGTCCAACCATGTTAACTTGCCGCCCCCATGCACCACTGGAGGCATTGATGACGGTTGTTCGCAAGACCTGTGGCCTACTCAAAGCAAAGAATAGCCTGTGGGGTTTTTGTCCCACGTCTTCTGATGGGACGGCCACAGGCAGAGACAACAAGACTTGAGTCATAGACTCTTGTGTCAATAAAGTTTTCTCTAATTGTTTCTGGTTTTGCTATTGGATAGAAAGTCAAAGACCTTACGCAGGATATAAACTCTCTCATCTCTTTTTCCAAACCACTTAAGATCTTATTTGGCCACTATGGGAGCTTCTGAAATCCCTGGAAGCATTGCCCACACATTTTTAAGTGCGCAAAACGAGAAATGTGCTTCCCCCACCCTTCCACCCCCAAATGAAAAGAGAAATCCCCAGGAAGCTGAATCACAGATCCAACTCTGTACGAAACATCCTGAGCTTGATGCTATTCAGTGGTCTGAGAACATACAAAGCAATGATCTCACTGAAGTTTTATTACCCTTATGACAGTCTTTGAGCTAAATATCCTGGCTAAATTTAGAGCACGGGTGGGGAACATGAGACTTGGGGCCAAAACCTGCCCCTCCTGCCCTGTTGTCCCTCTGGGACTCTTCAGCTGGCAGTACCTCTTTCACCAGTGGGTTATTTACCAGCTTTTAGTGGGTTTTCTTCCCCATTCCAAATACGGTGGACCCTCTACTTAAGGAATTAATCCGTATTGGAACGGTGGCTGTAAGTTGAAAAGTCTGTAGGTCGAATCTCTATTGACCTGCAATGCATTGAAAACTGATTAGTCCCACAACTGGCAGTTTTTATTCTATTTTTGTTCCATTTTGGTTTTTTTCTGGTCTGTAAGTCGATTCTCCAGCTGCAAGTCGAATCTAAATTTTGCAGCCAGAGAAGTCTGTAACTCGAAAAGTCTGTAAGTCGAGCCGTCTGTAAGTCGAGGGTCCACTGTAGTCGAAATGCCTTAAGATGCTAACAGTAAAAATAAAAATTAAGATTATCTTAATTTTTTTAGCCCCGTTCTTTTGCTTTTTCCCTGGTCCTGGGAACTTCTTCGAACAAGAAATCAGCACTCTGAAAGATTCCTCATCTGTGATTCATAAAATATGAAGACACTGAGATCTGCTGTGGTGTTTGTCCATTGTTTTTATTTCAAGGCTGAGCATGGATCTCCGCTATTAACAGTGGTCCTAAAGCCTTGCCCCAAACATCCCCTCCACTCCGACATGCCACAGCTGTTTGCTAAATAAATAAATAAAATTCGCTACCTTGATAAGCAATGTTTTGTATTTGGCTGTTCCCCTTTCTCATTTGAAAATCTGTTCCCTGCAACTTGGAAACAGAATGAACTATAAGCTGAAAAGGATCACAAGGGTAATGTTTGCCTTGACCGATCTGTATACAGTGGTGCCTCGCTAGACGATGATAATCTGTTCCACTGAAATCGCTGTTTAGCGAAATCATTGTCTAGCGAAAAGCATTTCCCCATTGGAATGCATTGAAACCTGTTTAATGCGTTCCAATGGGGAAGAATCGTCGTTGTCTATGGCGAAGATCGGCCATAGGAAAGCCACTTTGTGAACCGCCGATCAGCTGTTTAAATAGCTGTCTTGCAAAGCTTAGGTCCCGAAAACACCCGTTTTGTGAGCACGGAGGGAGCTGTCAAATTCGTTGTATAGCAAAAAATGGTTTGCAAAGCAGGGACCAAACATTGTCCAGTGAAATTGCTCCATGGGAATCACTGTTTTGCGAATTGCTATAGCAATCGCAAAAAGTCAATGTCTTGCGAAAAAATTGTCATGCGGGGTAACTGTCTAGTGAGACACCACTGTAATCCATAACATATTTTTGTCGCCTGTTGCTTGGGGCAGATTATCCATTTTGAAAGAGAGGAGAAACACACCAGTAGAGAAGGAAAACTTCTGGGGAATCTGTTAGGGAGCTGTTACTGAGACAGATACGAAGCTTACTAATAGTTAATTGAACCTACCAGCCTTCTCTATGAATTTTCTCACCTCTCTGTTTTGGGAAAGAAAGCCAGCCAAGTCTGGCTTTTCAAAACTGAGCGGCCAACGCATGTCTTCAGCAAAAAGATGCTAAATTCACAAGCTGCCATTAAAGGACGCAATGTTTTTAAGACTGTAGTTGCTCTTCTAAAAAAGAACCACTCGTATTCCCACTCTAAAATTTAGTATTTTGCTTTCTTTTAAAACATGAGTTACAGAACAAAATGCCAGGAATGGCATATTGGAAAGTTTCCAGAGAGGCTTCAGATATTTATTGCAACACTCCCAGGATTTATGGTGTTTAACATTTAAAACTTCCACAGCTCATCTCCTGTTTATTCTTTTCCTCTGTTCAAAAATGCCACACATTTTCTTTTTATTGCACTGAAAAGCCAGGTACAGTGGTGCCCCGCATAGCAACGTTAATCCGTTCCGGATTAATCGTCGCTATGCAGAAACATCGCTAAACGGGATGGAAAAATCCATAGGAATGCATTAAACTTCGTGTAATGCGTTCCTATGGCTTCCAAACTCACCGTTCAGCGAAGTTCCTCCATAGGACTGCCATTTTTGCGCCCTCGGTAAGGGCAGGGTGCGAAAACACTTGTGGCAGCCATTTTGGGCACCTGGCGGCCATTTTGGAACCGCCAATCAGCTGCTTTAAAAAACATCGCAATGCGAAGATCGGTAAGTGAAACGCAATGCGATTTTCGTCCATAGAAAACATCACAATGCGATCGTAAAAACGATTGCAAAATCCACATCGCTATGTGGATTCGTCGTTAAACGGTGCGCTCGTTAAGCGAGGCACCACTGTTCAAGGCATACAGACGTCCATACTTATAAGTAAATCAATAAAACTAAGAAGAATTTGTTTTAATTTTTTTATTTAAAGATAAAGGTAAAGGTTCCCCTTGACAATTTTTGTCCAGACGTGTTCGACTCTAGGGGGCGCTGCTCATCCCTGTTTCCAAGCCATAGAGTCAGTGTTTTGTCCAAAGACAATCTTCCGTGGTCACATGGCCAGGGCGACTTAGACACGGAACGCTGTTACCTTCCCACCGAGGTGGTCCCTATTGATCTACTTGCTTTTTTACATGCTTTCAAACCGCTAGGTTGGCGGGAGCTGGGACTAGCGACGGGAGCTCACTCCATCGCGTGGATTCGATCTTACGACTGCTGGCCTTCTGACCCTCCAGCAAGGCTTTTGCGGTTTAGCCCGCAGTGCCACCACATCCCCGTTTTTATTTATATGCCACCTTTTCAGACAAGCGTTTAAATAACTGTTATTGGCTCCTTAGCTAAGTACGTTTGCTTCTAAAGTTTTTAATGCCTTTAACCACTTAGTGTATTTTTAATTGTTAGTATAGTTCAAGCGTTTTTAATGTGTAATTTATTCTGTTTTTCATTTTCTTTGCTTTAACACTGCGAGCTGCCTTGAGTGAAGCAGCCTACAAATTACACTAAATACATAAGTAAGCTAGCAAGGAAATAAATAAATAATTTTGGATTTGTTTGTTTTTTGAGGAAACCAGGTTATCAGGGAGGCGGAGGAGGCAGTAATTCAAATTCCTGAAGGAATTTTGGCTTTGGAAGCCTATAAAAGACAGGGATGAAGCTTTACCATGTTTTTAAACCACTTGGGAGTTGTTCTGTTTTGTTATAATCACATACAACAGGTGTGGAACAGCAACAAAAATGAACCAAATTGGGATGCTTACCTAAGGTGTTTGTTTTAGAGCAGAAGTGTCGTTAATTATTATATATATAGAAAAAAACAAAGAATTACAGCGGTGCCCCGCTTGACGATTACCTCGTTATACAACGAAATTGCTTGACAATGTTTTTGTGATCGCTATTGCGATCGCAAAACGATGATTCTATGGGCGATTTTCATTTGATGATGATCGGTTCCCTGCTTCGGGAACGGATCTTTCGCTTAATGACGATCAAAAACAGCTGACTGTCGGGTTTTCAAAACGGCTCCCCGCTGTGCAAAATGGCTCCCCGCTGTGTTCAGGACGGATTCTTCGCAAGACAGGCACCAGAAAATGGCTGCCCTATGGAGGACCTTCACTGGACGGTGAGGTATTTACCCCATTGGACCGCACTGACTGGTTTTCAATGCATTTCAATGGGTTTTTTTATTTCGCTTGATGACGATTTCGCTCTACAGCGATTTTGCTGGAACAGATTATTGTCGTCAAGCGGGGCACCACTGTACTTAAAAAACTCCAATGGGGTAGCCATGTTAGGGTGTAGTCTGTTGCAGCAAAGCCAATGATATTTGTTACACTTTAACTAGCTAAGCCTTTTTATTTGCTCGGGTTTTTTTACATCAGCTTCCACAGACTGCAACCTAACATTGACAATATCACAGTAACTCCTTATCCTTGAGATCTTAGCACTATACTTTGTTTTTTTAAAAGCTTTGTACACTATTTTCAAAAACTGTTGCTTTGTGGCCTGGACACACAGAGGGGTCTCCCCCCCGTGTGTGTGTGTGTGTGTGTGTGTGTGTGTGTGTGTGCGCTAAACCCACTGCTTTTCTCAGGGCCTGAGCCCCTTCCGCTTACCTTCTTCTCATCCGTAAGATCCAGAGATTCCAGCTGTTTCCCCTGGTCTGCTGCATAAATTTCCAGAAGGTTGTCAAAGTTGGTGGTCAGTACGAGAGCGCCGTTCTCCATCAAGTGGAGGACAGACCGAAGGAGCCGTTTCCCAGTGTCTTCCATCTTGGACTCCAGGTCATCAAAGACCTCATATAAACAGTCTTTGAAAAAAGTAGAACGGACGTTGCTTGTGCGCTGACAAGAAGGGAAGAACACAAAAGGGATCAACACAGATTTTACTGTATGTTCCCCCCCCCAAGAACGAAACATCTTGTATATTTGGCGGAACGCCTCCTCCCACCAAGGTCTACCCGGATCACCCGCGCGAGTCAGGAGGTGAGGCTGAGGAGCCTGACGCCGAGAGAGGCCCGGAAGGAGAAGACACGAAACCGGGCCTTCTCGGCGGTGGCTCCTCGCCTCTGGAACAATCTCCCTCCGGCAATTCGCGCGGCCCCCACGCTGGGCACCTTTAAAACCCAATTAAAAACATGGCTGTTTATTCAGGCCTTCCCTCCAGCCAACTCTTGATTTTTTCTTACTTTTCCTTTTTATCTTTACTGCTGTTCTTGTTTGATTATTATGTATTTGTCTATGTTTTATTATTTGATTTTATATTTGGAAGCCGCCTAGAGTGGTCCGGTGGGCCAGATAGGCGGGGTATAAATTAAATAAATAAATAAATATTTGGCCAAAACAAAACCGAAAAAACATGGAAAACGAAAACATGGCACCTTAAAGACTAACTGCTATATTTTCATGTGCGCTTTCGTGGACAAGTCCACTGCTTCAGGCACAAGAGCGGGAATGCATGGCAAACATTTATACCGTTAAACCTGCCCCCCCTCCCAAATAAGGAGACTGTTCCCTGGGCACAAGGAACTGATGATGTGGCATTTCATGTCAGGCAACAACCATTAAGACCCATGTGGATCTTCAGTTCCCCTTCCAGGTGCCATTGTTCAGTAAACAATGACAATGTATTCGCGAAGGCTTTCACGGCTGGGATCCGATGGTTGTTGTAGGTTTTTTGGGCTGTTTGGCGTGTTCTGGAGGTTTTTCTTCCTAACGTTTCGCCGGTCCTCTGAAGATGCCGGCCACAGAGACTGGCGAAACGTTAGGAAGAAGAAACTTAAGAACACGGCCAAACAGCCCGAAAAACCTACAACCACCAAACAATAACAACGATTGGTGGTTTAATTAATCCCATGCTGTAGATCACGAAGGGGAACAATATGATAATGATGAATATCATAATTTCTGATTGGACTTGTGAGGTGACACTGGGTAAGGAAATATAGTTTGGAATTACATCAGGTGCAAATTTTTATAATGGATAATTGCCTAAGAATCTTTGTCTTATATTGAATCCACTGAGAGTCCACAACATTTTGGTCTTCTTTATTTTTTCATTTCTGCTTCCCCCCCCCCGACATGCTAGCCCAGACTAACATGGCTGACTCTTCTAAAACATTACATATTTGTTAGGGCGGTGCAGCCAATTCCACCCAATCCTGAACTGACCTGGTCCAAAGCGGATCTGGATCATTCCAAATAGCTTCAAATTGGTAACAGGGATTCTGGTATTAAAAGAAAACCACAGAGTGCCTCCCGAATAGATTACAAAACAGCACCTATAAATAATATACTGGAGAGAAGTAGTGGAGTGGGTGGGGCCTTTGCTCACTGACACCTCTAGCTTCCAATTGTAAACAGAACCTCGCCAGCGCTTTCCCACCATAGTGCTTGCACGGAAAGATGATGTGAAGCTACAGAAGTTACACATTCACTTCCCTCATGTAGCTTTGTGATATTTTCGGGGGGTTTTAGATGCCGAGAACAAATCCTTAAAGAAGTTGCAGCGACTAACGTAATGACTGTTCATTGCCCTAGTTCACCTTGGACTCTTCACTGCCAAACCTTTCGTCTTCGTAATTTAAATAGTCCAGCTTCATCCTCTTTCTGCTTTTCTTCTTCATTTGTTTGAGCAGTAATCTGTCTAAACAGTGGCTCTTATCTTTTAATCCCCCCGTCTCCATTTCCCTAGTTTCCAATCTGACTTTTGCAAAAATCTCACCTCTGCTCTCAGATCACAGTTTTTGCAAAAACGTTATGGGGGTTGGGGGACTGGTGGTGACTTTTTATTTACTGTAGCTTATGTTTCTTCTTCATTCATCATATCAGTACCCAACCTTCCCTCCTTGGTTCCTACTTTTCCGGTCCATCCCATCCTTCCTTACTCCTTATACAGTGGTGCCTCGCATAACGAGCGCCCGTTAAACGACGAATCCGCATAGCAATGCGGATTTTGCGATCGCTTACCAATCTTTTTGCGTTTCGCTTACCGATCTCCGCATTGTAATGTTTTAGAAACAGCTGATTGGTGGTTCCAAAATGGCCGCCGGAAGAAAAAATGGCCGCCCACAGCGTTTTCGCGCCCTTTCCCTCGCATACCGCGCGGCAAAAATGGCGGCCGTATGGAGGATTTCCGCATAGTGGTGAGTTTATCCCCCATAGGAACGCATTAAACGGGGTTTAATGCGTTCCTATGGGGTTTTCCGTTCCGTATAGCGACAATTCCGGATAGCGACGATTTATCCGGAACAGATTATCGTAGCTATGCGGGGCACCACTGTATTTGTTGTTTGAGTCAATTCGGTTTGTTGGGCTGATCGCTATTTTAGTTGCATTTTTTATTAGATAGCAGCACAAAGTTATTCTACAAAATAAGACTGAGTATACAAGCACCACAAATAAATGACCACTGCTACCATAGTCCAGCACATATATTAGTAAATGTCTAGCACACTAAAGAAATGTTTAAGATTGATAGCACAAAAGCTCTTGGACCCAACTGTATGAAATTTCTCAGAAATCGCCAATTCTGAAGGGTTACAATGCCCCGAAGGTTCATCTACACACACCTATGGCTATTTTTAATCAGAAGTGGATAGCACAAAAATCATTATACCTATCTGACTGAAATCTGAAAAACACAATCCTCTCTAAATATGTGCGTGTATGAGAGAGAGAGAGAGAAAAAAACTTCATCTCAACATTTCATGTATATTCACACACACACAAAAGAAAAGGGTCAAGTTGTTTTAATAGCCCAGGGCAAGCCAATCACAATGTGAAAATTCTGATTTCTGAATTTTGATTCAGATTTGTGTCAAAGTGAACCAGGTGTGCATCCGAATCCCGCTTACAAATGAATCAAGGAACGCTTCCACAGTCCCATTTCATTGCACATTTTCTTGATTTTATGGTTATGTCCCATTGGGTGGAGAGTAGGATATAACATGAACGAAAGAAATAATGAACAAGCACAGTTAAACACAGCATCATTACCGAAAATCACCCACCACCCCCAGAAATGTTACATCACCACCCGAAGCTTGAAAACCGACCCCCTCTATGTGCCATCAACTCACTGGTGACAGTTTCTGGATAAGGTCATGAGCTACGTGGATGAGGTTCTTATCATCTCGGAGACACTTCTGGAACTTTTTTCTCTCCTCATCTTCGAGAAGGTCAAAGTCAATAGCAGCATCCAGAAGGGCCTGGATCAGCCCTTTCCAAGACTTCAGAGCTGGCACTTGAGGAGCGACGGCTGCACTTATGCCTGTTCCAATCACCAGCACAAGTTCCTGAGGCTTTTTAGTTTTCAGACTCGGCAACAGCTTCCTGAAGTCAAAAAGTTGGAAGGACAGAGAGGGAAGTAGTTCTCTTTGTAGAAATCTCTCTGGAGAGCAGCTTCCTCCATTCTTGTGGGAGCAAGTAAGAGGTCTAAAATAATTCTGCATCATATTTACAGTGGTACCTCGACTTACGAACGTCTCCACTTGCGAACGATTCGAGTTACGAATGGCTCCAGTCGCAAAAAGTTGCTTTAACTTGCGAACGGAGCCTCGACTTACGAATGAAAAAGAAAAGAAAAGAAAAAAACTTTCCTGCCCTTTTTGTGACCTAAGTTCATCTTAGGTCAAAAGAAGAAAAAAATAATTTAAAAAATCACCCCTTAGTGGTAGAGTACGGATTAACCGGCTTTGCATTAGTTCCTATTGGAACTAATGCCTCTACCTATGAACAGCGCCTTGACATACGAATGAAAAACAGCCTGAACGGATTGAATAGTTTTCAATGCATTCCTATGGAAAAACTTGCCTCGACTTACGAACTTTTCGACATACGAAAGCTGTTCCAATACGGATTAAGTTCCTAAGTCGAGGTACCACTGTATCTCCTCTCTCCTTATTTCCAAGGTGAAGTACATAGGCCTCCTTTCTCCCCTTCCCCAACATTATTTCCTTCCTGCAAAGTAGATTAGGAGAAAACTCACTGGCCTGGGGTCATCCAATAAGCTCCATGCCTCTGAAGAGACTCAAACTTTGATGTCTCACTGGAACGCCCTAGTCTTCTTTCCCTGGGAAGCCTATCTAGACTAAGGTTTATTGGTAATACTGAGTCCTAACGCTTTGATAAAGATAAATGGAAACCAAGTTCATATGCAAGCCTCTTAGCCAACAGCAACGGACAGTTTACCACCAAGAAACAAGGACAGTTTGTTATCAAACCAAACTAGATTTTGAAGACAAACAGTGAAGATTTTGAAAACACTCTCAAGGAAATGTCGAGCATAACAAGATTTGGACTATACAATTTGGGCACTTCCAGGAAATGCATTTAGCACGTTGTATGAATGATTGTTCAGGTTCCCAGCAGATGGTTATTTATTACTAAAGGAATTAATTGTATATATTATAAATACATGTGAGATAATCTTTCAGGCATCCCTGTGGCTGTATATATTTTTGAATTAATGTGGGTTGGGTTTCAATTAAAGTGGTTTGGACATCACAAATATTTCTTTTGCAGAGATGACTGATGTTTTAACACCATATAAGTAAACTGTTAGTGGGTGTGTTTAGTGAGATAACAGAATTTTTATATATATATTATTCACCTTTTCTTATAAAGGCATTATATTTTGAATACACATATCAACATGGCTGTATGGTTTGCCAGTACTGTATGTTTATACAAGAGAAGTAACTATTCATGTCTACTTTTAAAAATCTTTTTCAATTTTTTTCTATTTCTGTAATCATTTCACATTTACAGTGGTGTCTCGCGAGATGATTTTAATTCGTTCCGCGAAAATCGTCGTCTTGTGAAAAAATCGTCTTGTGAGGTCTCAAAAAAAGTCTTGCGAAGCATCGGCCTAAAAAAAGTCTTGCAAAACATGGTAATAGAAAAAAAAGTATTGCGGGGCACCATAGTGATTGCAAAAAAACAATCGTCTTGTGGGTTTTTCGTTCCGCAAGGCAATCGTCTAGTGAGGCACCACTGTATTTGCATACTGCCTTGATAAAGAGATAATTCTCTCAGACACCTCTGGACAAAATAAAGGTAATCTGAGTTTACAGGCCTTCTTCTGAAATTGGTTTCTTTCATGCCTTCCGTCACCATTTTTTCCTTCATTTTTGGGGGTCACTTTTTGAGTGGAGGTATGGAACACAATATTTGCACAATCCTCTACATAAAATAAGATAGAAATCTCCTGCACTGAGAATTGAGCTAGGCCAGACTCCTTTTTCTCTCTGATGTGATATACAGGGGATGGTCACGTTGACCTGCACCATATTGTTCTGCATGGGGGTAGGTACCATTCAGAAATGACTTCCCTCATAGTAGCCTTTTAATGCTAACCTTGGTTTTTTTGCAGGAGGCACTCCATCGTCTAACAAGGTTTCTTTATCCAGATTTAGGTTCACATTAGAAGCCATCCAGGTTCTAGAGGGAAAGGAAAGCAAAGTGATAAGGAGAAATGTGAGGAAATGGTAGACTTTTGAGCAAGAACAAATTTATTTAAGCATACTGAGACAACACTGTGAAGGAAAAACAAATGTTTAAGATATTATCCCAAATCACCTCACACCTTGCCCTGGAAACAGAGAGGTACTCTCTCCTGCCATTAAATACACCATTCTAAGGATAATCAAGGGTTTGTCTTGAGGAACTGAGGGCCCAGTTTCAATGATAATGGGAAAGACTGAAAACCTCAGCCTTACAGGAGAGGACCTTTCTGTAGATAAGGCATTGTCCATGCATTAAGGAGAATGCAGGGATAAAGCAGACTGTTCCATTCCAGAATGCAAAGTGAGGTACCACATTTTCAATGTTTTGTGTAAATTCTCCCTTCTAATACAATAATAATATTAAGCAAGCAAAAAACAAAGCACTTCAGGAAAGAGAGTCTAGCACTGCCATTTTACCAACATGCTAGTTTTCTACATGCAGGGAAGGTTTTCTCCTCTACAAATTAGGATATCCTCTCCCCAACTGCCTGAAATGACAAAATCCCTTCTTATCCCATCTTTCTGCCCAGTGTATAGACAGGGCCTTAAAAAAGCTGAATGTGTCAAAATTCTCTCTTCAGCAAATTCATGCCAAGAGTAAGAACCATGTCCTTCCTTGCATCTGGTTACAGAGCAGACAAGCTATTATTGGCCAAGGATTACGGGTGCTAAGACGTTCTTAATTCTGATGTCAAGAAGTCTCCAACTGGTTGGCTCGAAGAGAGCTGGCTTGCTCTCCTGGGAAGCTGTGAATGAGCGGCAGATTGGGAAAAGCACATCAGTGACCATTCAAGAAAGCATAGAAGAAATCACAACCAACACTTGGGTTAGTTAAATATCCCCATGAAAAGTTCTCCCTCTCTTCCTCTTTCTTAAGACTTTCCTCTAACTGAAGTCATCTTAAACAATGAAATACAGTGGTGCCTCGCTAGACAATGATAATCCGCTCCACTGAAATCGCTGTTTAGCAAAATCATTGTCTAGCGAAAAGCATTTTCCCATTGGAATGCACTGAAACCTGTTTAATGCGTTCCAATGGGGCAGAATCGTCGTTGTCTAGCAAAGATCGGCCATAGGAAAGCCGCTTTGCAAACCGCCGATCAGCTGTTTAAATAGCTGTCTTGCAAAGCTTAGGTCCTGAAAACACCCATTTTGCGAGTGCGGAGGGAGCTGTCAAAATCGTTGTCTAGCGAAAATCGGTTTGCAAAGCAGGGACCAAACATTGTCCAGCAAAATTCACCCATAGGAATCACTGTTTTGCGAATCGCTATAGCGATCGCAAAAAGTCAATGTCTAGCAAAAAAAACTGTCTTGCTGGGTAACTGTCTAGCGAGGTGCCACTGTATCCAAATGCTTCAGTCTGTTACACCTCTAAGCACTTCTACACTCGTTACTTCACAAGGACCACCTTTCCTCTTGTGAACCTCCCTACCTGTCAAATTCATAAGCAAAGACAGTGACTGAAGCCACCTCCACCACTAACAATCACAGCAGCGACTCCTCTGTGGTGGCACCGAAGTTTTAGAAATCCAAGTTTAAAGAAGCTCTCTTTATGTTTCCAACACCCTATGAAATCTGTTTTATCAAGTTAGAACTCATAGAGGGAGGGAGGAACAGGAAATCATTGATTACCGTTCTCCTGCTATTACTGTTATGGACTTTATTTGGCATTTTAGGTCTCAATCACTCTGCTTTTTATTTTTGCTAATGTTCATGCTGCAAAAGGGAGGGGTATTCACTCTTCCCTTTGCAGACAAGGAGACCCCTGCTTCTCTTGCTCCTCTGTTGTTGGTGCTCCAACAGTAATAAGACCAAAGGGAGATCATGCAAAGGGTAGATCTAGTAGATTCAAAGCCTTCCATCCTCCTAATCTCCCCAGCGTGGGTGATAAAGTGTGTCAACCCTTAATTTCCCTAAAGCACCCTTGTTTTGCCCTGCGGACTCAAAGCCTGTAGAGATCTGGAGTCGTCTGCTACAGATTCTCCCTTCTGCCAATTTTCTTTGAATTCCACTGCATATCCATAAGGCTTTAAACACGCACAAGCTTTCAACTCTGTTCTAGGCAGACACAACATTTAATCATAGTTTATTTTCTCTGTAGTCTATAAATCTATAGTTCAGAACTGGCCACCAATCAAGCTAACAAACTATGAACTGAGTTGCATTTACAAACTATGATTGGCATGTAGTTTCTCTTCCTTTGAGCTTATTAAGTGACAAGTGTATAGCCCATCAAATTAAATCATGGTTTCACTGTACTTCAGAGGACTAAGATTAGATAGATAATCTTTATTACAGTCAATGACCAATATCACAATACAAAAAAAACACATAAAATGTTATTTCAAGGACCTCCTAGAAACATAAAAATAAATTACCTAAGGTTAACGCTACAAACCACAGTTAGCTTTACATATGTACTTTGTCGTGTCTTGTACAAATAAAACTATTTCCTGATGTTTCTACACCTTCAGTTGCTCCTTATCTTAGGCCATTCCTAGGTCACTGTTGCTTTTCCTGTATTCAGCTCCTGAACTCTGACACAAATCTGAAGTTCTGCAAAGGTAGTAGCTTCCAGCCACTGGGGATATCTGTGACAAGCTGCGATTTGGACTGGAGAAAACTGGATTGAAATCTCTGTTGAACCACCAAGTACACAAGATAGTCCAAACAAATCATAGCTAGAATTCTACGGGAACGTACACTGACTTAAGTGTCACTGGGTAAACTGTAGCAGCAAACTGTTGCTGACTAATAAGCTTCCATTTGCTCCTTCTAATCACAGGACACAGCACACAATTTGGTGTGTGACCAGGAACGCAAGCAGAAAACTCATTAATTTGTAGAAATTCACCACTGCAGGTGATTCAATTATACGTTGGCATGAATTTACAACAGGATTCTAGCTGAATTCTCTGAACCTCTGCTCCCTTACAGGGTTATTGTGAGAATAAGATGGGAGAAACCCATTTATGCCACTGTTTTTCTTTGGCATGGTGAGAACTGGTGGATAGCTCAATGGTTTGGGCATCTGACTGCAGATCCAGAGGTTGGGAGTTCAATTCCCCACTGTGCCTCCTTGACAGGGGCTGGACACAATGATAGATAGGCTCCCTTCCAGCTCTACAGTTCTATGATGATGATGTCCTACATTTGTTTAAAACAAAATAGGGACACTGTCCCTAGAAATTAAGTTCATATGGACAATTCCAGTTATACTAATTGTTTTAAAATCATCATTTCTCAGAATTACCAGTGTGTGGGGCGGACCAAAGCATCAGCCTAAAAAGTAGGAATCAAGTCCTAGAAATCTGCAAATCAGATGACATATTTGCAAAATCACTAATTTTCAGATTTCAGGAAACAAATCAGCAGCTCCTGGCAACTGTTTTAAATTGGGAGCCAAAGATTTTGGAACAATTCCAGCTGCTGAAACCGGCATGGGGAAGAACAGGATTTGATCTTGCTTCCATATCCTTTAGCTTCTTCCCGTCATGTTTGATACTTTGCTATTGTTGTCCTTTCTGTATTTTGGGGGTTGCTTGTTGATAGAACTCCAACCTCTATAAGATATGTTTTTCTTTGTTGTTTATCCTGAAGCAACAGCAGCACTATCACTTCCTGGTGCCAGTGAGAAGCTACAGAAAAAGAGTATTTCATGCATTTCTGATATTTGTTTGCAGCTTAATGACTATGATGACTTAATTATTGATTTAACAACTCTGGTTGTTCAACCACCATTAGGAGCTCAATGAGGATATAGGATCAACACTGGGAGTTACAGTGGTGCCCCGCATGACAATGATAATCCGTTCCGGGAAAATTGCTGTTAAGCGAAATCATCATGCGAAAAGCGTTTCCCCATTGGAATGCATTGAAACTCATTTAATGTGTTCCAATGGGGAAATTACCTCGTCGTCCAGCGAAGATCGGCCATAGAGGAAGCCATTTTCTGTGCACCGATCAGCTGTTAAAATGGCTGCCCTGCGAAGCATGGGTCTGGAAAACACAGGGCAGCCATTCTGCGGAGTGGGAAAAATCCTCGTCTTGCGAACAAATGGTTCGCGAAGCATGGACCTAATCGACATCCAGTGGAATTTCCCCATAGGAACGACTGTATTGCAAATCGCTATAGCGATCGCAAAAAGTCACCGTCCTGCAGATTCATCATACAGCGGGGTCATCATCTAGCGAGGTAGCACTGTAGATTCTTTGCTCCATTACATGCTGATCTATGTCAAAGGGCAACCAGCTTATGGAAATGACTTGCTAAAAAAAACAGTCAGTTAGACATTTTAGTTTGCATCTATGAAGCCAATTAATGGAGATTTTCTTGGAACAAATCAGAGAAAGCCATGTATCATTTGCCAGCTACGTGAGCAATGTTACTGGAAGCTGAGTTGATTTGTAAGAAGTCATCGCTGGCCTTGAAACCATCACAAAAGAGGAAATTGTATTTAATGCCTGCTGAAGACGCAAATGGAAGTAAACACGCCCAAGCTTAGTTTCAGCAAGGCAAACAATTACAGGGAGGTTGTGGCTGCTATGCACATAAATCTCAACCACAAAAGGATTAAAAGCTTGGCATGGTACACTGCACAGGGCAGGCATCCAAACTGAATTGTAACTAATAAATGCATACAGTAGGCAGAGAAGCAAGCAAGCAAGCAGAGCTATGTCGGAATTTCCATTGATGTCAAGGAGTCTAGATGTGGCTCAAAATGACAACAGGACTCTCATGAACCACACTTTTGGAAGGTATCTTGGCAAGTCTTCCTGGAATAGTGCACATGCCGTGTTTTTCCGTTTATAATACGCCCCCACATATAAGACGCCTCCCCCCACCTTTCTAACCCACAATTTCTTTCTTTGCAAGAAAGTGGAAGGGGAAGGCAGGAATCATCAAAGCGATTCCTGCTTTTCTCCTCCACTTTCTTTGGAAGAAAGTGGAGGGGGAAATCACTTTCCCTGCAAGAAAGTGCTTTCTTGCAAGGAAAGTGCTTTCCCCCTCCACTTTCTTTGCAAAAAGTGGAGGGGGAAAGCAGGAATCAAGCGCTTTGATCCCTCTCCCCTCCTTATTTCTGTGCATACGATGACCCTAAATTTTTAATCTAAATAATTTAGAGAATAGTATCGTCTTATGCAAGGAAAAAACACAGGAAATCAAAACTGTAAACAAAGCAGAGGCGGACAAGTTACTATTTTTGGACGACAACTCCCAGAATCCTCCAGCCAGTACGGCAACTAGATATGCTCGCTCTGCGAACAATGTAAACAGGATACTGACTGATCAACAAGATACAACAGCCTTGGCTATACCATCTGCTGCAATGTTGCCATAGTTTCCAATCCCTTTAAGGTTGGAAAGTTGTTTACGATTTTACTCATCTTGGCAGAGAGGAACTGGAGCCAGTTAAGCAATTGTATGCCATGTCCTTAGCCTATCATTTGTCCTGGTGAAAGAGGAGGAAATTCAGCTTTCTTTTGACTATTTTGATTGCAGCCCATTCTTCCAGCTGAGGAGGCAAGCCAGTTTTCAAAGAGAAAAGCAGCTTGCTTCTTCAACTGCCGGCAAAGCTTCCCAAACACCTCTCCAGCTCAGCAAACATTTCCCTTCGATTGGTACATAAATGTCAGCTCCAAAAGGTATGAATCTAGTGGGGGGACTCAAACAACCAAGTACCGCAAGGTAACTGAGAGCAACATGAAGTACAGTGGTGCCTCGCAAGACAATATTAATTCGTTCCGTGAAAATCGCTGTTAAGCGAAAACATTGTCTTGCGAAACACGTATACCCATTGAAATGCATTGAAAACCTGATAATCTGTTCCAGTGGGAACGGATTGTCATCGTAACGCGAAAATTGCCATAGGAAACATTGTTAAGCGAAACATGGTTCCGAAGCAAAGACAGCCATCTAACGAAACAGAGACCATTAAAAGACTTGTATAGCGAAGCAAGACCAAGCTGTCAAAAACATCGTAAAGCGAAAAACAGGGACCTAAAATTTAACCGTCTTGCAAGGCAAGGTCCCTAACATTGTAAAGCGAAAATCGCCTATAGGAAACATTGTTAAATGAAGCGCAAGATCGCTCCAAAAACCTCATTGTAAAGTGAATTTGTCGTTATGCGAAGCAATCGTCTTGCGAGGCACCACTGTAAAAGTTGAAAGTAGTGAACTGGGAACTAGGACCCCCAATGTCACAAAACATGTTGAATATCCACAGGGGAGGTTAGTCTCTTTTAGCATCACCTATCACAGTGGTTCTTAACCTTTGTTACTCGGATGCTTTTGAACTGCAACTCCCAGAAACCCCAGTCAGGACAGCTGGTGGTGAAGGCTTCTGGGAGTTGTAGTCCAAAACTCCTGAGTAACCCAAGGTTAAAAACCAGTGACCTGTCACACTCCCTCTGTCTGTCCTACCTCACAGGGAGAACAGAGGTTAAGAAAGCCAGATATGCCATCATAAGCTCAATGAGAACAAGGTATGAGATACATGTAAGTAATTTTTTAAAAAGGAAGGTAAATGGTAAAACAATATATAAAATGGGGGGATATCTTTATTAGCATCAGCAACAATTTCATAATTGAATGTGACCTTTTGAGTCCTCTAACTCTTCATTTATATTTCATAGAAAAATAGCAGTAAAAATACCAGTAACAACAGCCATAACTTACCATGGGCAACTGCCAAGAGTAATAATAATGTACCCTCTCCAGTACACATGAGCCAACCTAGAGGAGCAAAGGATGGGATATGGGATAATGAAATTAGTCGGTCTTTCCAGGTAGAAACCTCTCTACACAGGTAAAGGTAAGCTCAGATATAGAGGGAACATCTCTTTTGCAGTTGCTTAAATCTGTTCTCTGTGATTCAGTTCACGGTCTGTCTGAACAGCTGAAAATGCGTAAGGAACTTTGTGGTACGTAATTTCCAGACCCATTTTCCTTCTTCCCATTCCAACACATATTATTTATTTGATTTACAGTATATTCTGATTTATATTCTCTCTCACAGAACTGGGACTCAAGGCGGTCTTCAATGTGATTCAAAAGAAACAAAGAAAACCACACTGTATTATAAGAATGGCATTAAGCATGTTTTTAAAAATCAAAAGTACAACAGTTGGGGGGGGAACCTATATCCTCAACTAATTAAAAAAACATCCTCCTTTGCCAAAATCTCTCTTGAAACTTTAAGGGGAGATGCATATTTCTGGGGAGGGGGGTGTAAACATTTTGGGACTGCACCTGTTCTCAAATATGACTTGGGAAATGTAAAATCCAAGATGGCATTTAGAAGATGGTCATTGCTTTCCAAAGCTGAACATTTCTTTAGCTACTCTCCTCCCTCCTTCCCTCTCCCTTTTTTAAACAAACCATATTAGGCATTCTATATATGTCTTTACCTTTCTAGGAAAAGAACTGTTCCTCCTCCCCGACAGATGAATCTGATCTTAAACTAGATTTTTAAACAAAATCTCATGCAAACATGTTGGAATCTCCACCAAGCACTTACTCAAATAAGTCATTTAAAAATTAGAGAAAAGCACAAGATTATCTTGTTATAACAACAATCCCACCATTCCTAGATTTAAAAGCAGACCGCTTTGCAAAACAGGATACAGCACTGGCATTTGTAACAGTGCCTTTATTTATTTTATACTTCCAGCACAATCCTAGATAGCTCTACTCAAAAGTTAAGTCCCACTGGGTTGAAGAGGCTTTCTTTCAAGTTCAGTGGTCAGCCTTAGTGGGGAAAAAAACTTAAGGTGTCTCTGTACTGTGCAAATTATGTCTGTTTAAGACCACTAACCGCCATGGCTGCATTCTAAGGAAATGTGAGTATTCAAGTTTGGAAAGAGAAGTAGAACCCTTCGCTAGAGAGCTCTCGTGCAGTGGCTCTTAATCTTCTGCTATCCTGATATTTTGGATTTCAGTTCCTCCTCTGCTCCCTTTGTTGTAAAAGAGCCCCGAACGCTGTTTGTGTTTGGGTGAAAAGTGCTTAAAAGATGAAAAAAGGAGTCCACTTCTGGGATTTTCTCTTGGGTGGTGTCACTTTCTGAATGGTGTCCTGTAGACCAGTGGTCCCCAACCTTGGGCCTCCAGATGTTCTTGGGACTTCAACTCCCAGAAATCCTGGCCAGCAGAGGTGGTGGTGAAGGCTTCTGGGAGTGGTAGTCCAAGAACATCTGGAGGCCCAAGGTTGGGGACCACTGCTGTAGACCATCTAGACTGCTGCCATGGGTGTGGTCAACATTCAGACCGCCCTTTGCTATGCCAAGCTTGGCATCCTTTTTCCTGCTGGCAATACGGGCACAATATTGCGCAGCCATCTCGGGCCATTTCCTGACTTTCTGAGTCAAGGGTACCGAAGCACAATATCTCACATTCATAAACCAGAGGGTTTTTTTGGAAGGACTGAATTATTATAAGACATGGAAGGCTGTAGACACTCCAACAATTAAAGATCAGCTGTGTAAATTTCGGGATGTAGTTATTCTACAGCGATCACAGTCAGCATTAAAATCAAATGAAGGTATTCCCGGTAAATATTTCAAAATAGAACAATACTACAACTTTAAAATTAAAACGAATTTAACCCCAGCCCACCACAATATAACATAAGCAAAAATAGCAGTGTGCATAAATCAATTTCGGACAAACCGCAGAAGGACCAAAGAAAATCTGGAAAATACAATGGTCACCAAGGCATGAAATAGTTTGTTCAAATGTCCTGGCCTGAGTTGATCAAAAAGGCAGTTTAAGGCCTCGGTATTCCCATCTATATTGGTTCATTATGTATGTATATCACCCTAAGGGATGTGGTGGCGCTGCAGAAGCCTCTGGGCTGCAAGGTCAGAAGACCAGCAGTTGTAAGATCGAATCCACGTGACGGAGGGAGCTCCCGTCGCTTGCCCCAGCTCCTGGCAACCTAGCAGTTCGAAAGCATGTAAATGCAAGTCGATAAATAGGTACCACCACGGTGGGAAGGTAACAGTGTTTGGTGTCTAATCGTGCTGGCCATGTGACCACGGAAGCTGTCAATGGACAAACGCTGGCCCTATGGCTTGGAGACGGGGATGAGCACCGCGCCCTAGACTCGGACACGACTGGACTAAATGTCAAGGTGAACCTTTTACCTTTACCTACATCACCCTAAACCTACAGTGCCATCCCCCCCCCCTTCACCCAGGTAAGCAGGCATTAAGTGCAACCTTGGCTGGAAATCAGAAGACATGGGGGACGAGGATCCACGGGGCTTACAAGGCAAGTAAAACATGTTTAGGGTGGCTAGTCGCGCTCACCTTCATTTGCTCCTTAAAAAAGAGGCTAAGAGTATTATGGGCTACCTGCGGTCTCCAAGCCAGGGAGGAACAATTCAGTTAAGAGGATTGGGAGGGAGATCATCAATCAATCCACTGCCACGGAGCTGCGGGGTGGAAAAGTCAGCCGGACCGGGGGGGGGGATCAACTTGATCCCGGGCAGCCGGAACCCCTTCTTTTCAAGCCAGCCTGGTTTGGATTCTGGGAGAAAAGATGGGTTTCGGATCCGCCTCGGCGACGTTGTTGCCTCCCGTAACCCGCCGCGCCCTCCCCTGTTACAGCTTCCTATCCCAAGGGCCCCCACGCTTTCAGGGAGGAGGAGGATGAGGATGATGAGGATGATCCCCCGGCTGTTCTCCACCACCACCACCACCCCTGCCTTCAAGCCCTCGCCTGGGACGACCTGCGTCCGCCACGCAGCCGAGCGACTTACCTTGCAGGACAAGGCAGCCGGCGGCGGCACAAGAGGCAGGGAGGAAGCGCTGGTCGGCCCGCCTCCCTCTCTCCGCCAGAGCAGACGAGGCGAGAGGGCTAGAGAGGGTCCTTTCTTCCGTTTCCCCCCCTTTCTTCCTTTCCCTCCCTCTCTTCTCCCCCCTCGTTGGTCGGAAGCAGAGGGGCCGAGCGTTTGGCTGATATATAGAGCCAAGCCAAGGGAGAGAGAAAGAGTAGAGCGAAAGTCTGGTTCCCGTACGACTCAAATGTATGGGCAACCAAAATGACCATTTCAAGTGAATTCGGAACCTCAGCAGCATTGAGCTGGATTCATACATACTGTAGTTACGTATTTAGAATATAGACCTGTTGAAATGAATGAGGCAAGCAAGTGAAGGCTAACACACCTAGAGTGGTCGTTCGACTAGATAGG